TTAATTGATTCCTTTTGGTTCATTTAGGCTGGGAAATCTGAGCTCATTTGGTTACATCTAGAAGCCAGTGAGGAAATAAACAACCAAGTAGAAAATCCAGACATTAAGTCAAGTCATGCATCACAGTAATAGGGCTTTTATGCTATCAGGCTGATAGTCCCCTTGTCTCCGCATTTTGTTTAAATAGTAACTTTCTAAGCATTTCTAAGGTAAAATTGTGTAACACCCAATTTGGCCTTCTAGTCTCCTATTGTCTTCATTAAAAAAAAAATTCTATTAATGGAACAGATGCCAGAGAGAAGGCTAGGTCTTTTTTTATTCCCCCTCCATGAGGAGGCCAGGTCTTGTGACTACTGCAAAGTCAACACTGGTTTCCTACCTTCTGAAGAATCAGATCCGTTTAATAGAATAATAGCATTACAATTGGATTCCTGTTTAAGGAACAGGAATAGGGCTTTTGATCCTCAATTGATTAACAACAGTTTAAATGTTAAAGGGTTAGTCGTAGCCATGTAATCCTGTTTTGATAAAATTATTAACTACTTTAATAATGAACTTTTCTAAAAAAAAAATTTTTTTTTAAAGAATAACTTAAAAAAAAAAAGAACTTTTCTGGACTTTGAATCCCATAGGTGCTAGTAAGGATTTACTATTATAACTGTTCTCTCAAACTCTACCAGAGTTAATGCCTGTTTTCACACAGCAGTACATTCCTATCTCTTGGCATTTTAAGGACACAAGAGTTAGAAATTTGAGTAGCCCAGAGGCAATCATGGTCCATTACATAATGGAATTCAGATTATTATTGGTCACTTCATTCCATTATACTTGGTCAACCTCATCCACATGGGTCTTAATGAAAGTGGTCAGTATACAGATCATTTGGGGAGCCATTGACCATTCTGATGAGGTCGTGATACTTTGTTTTTTAAATTTATGTACCATAAAACTCTCCCTTTGGGGGGCATGGTTCTGTGAGTTGTTACAAGTACATTTTGTCATGTGAGCACCATAGCTCTCTGGTTACCTCTCAGTTCCACCACCTCAAAATTTCCCTCCTGCTGCTTCTTTGTAGATAAACCCTCTCCCATCCAGTCCCTGGCAACGGCCCCCCAAGAGCGTGGATTTCGTGTACCAGACCTCTAGTTAGTATATATTTTACTATAAGGAGCTGCCAAACTTTTCCAAATAGACTGTACCATTTTACATTCACAGCAGAGATGTTCATGGGTTTCCGTTGCTCCACATCCTCTCCAGCACTTGTTTATTTTAATTTTTTAATTTTAGCTATTCTAATAAGGATTTATTGGTATCTCATTGTGGTTTTACTCTGCATTTCCCTAATGACTAATGATATTGAACATCATTTTCTGTATCTATTTGCTATCTGTATATCTTCTTTGGTGTAGGTCTCTTCAGATCTTTTGCCCATTTTTTAATTGTATGTTTTTGTTCTCTTATTGTTGGATTTTAAGAGTTCTTTGTATACCCTGGTTACAAATTCTTTGTCAGATACATGATTTATTTTCCTTTGCAGAGCAGAAGTTTTACACAAAACTTAAGTCCACTTTTGTTTAAGTAATACATTTTCAAACATTTCAAAGGTAAAAGGGTGCTTAAGGCATTCTAGCCTTCTAGTCTCCTATTTTCTTTATTAAAATAAAAATTTGTTAATGGAACAGATGCTCAGAGAAGGCCAGGTCTTGTAACTACTTTATTGGTTTAAGTCCACTTTATCAGTTTCTTTTGTGAATTGTGCTTTTGGTGTTGTATCTAAGAACTTCCGGACCCAAAGTCATGAAAATGTTCTCTTAAATTTTCTTCTAAAGTTATTATATTTTTATATTATTACATCTAAATTTATTATCAGTTTTGAATTTATTTTTGTAAAAGTGTGAGGTGTAGGTCAAGTTCATTTTTCTGGTTACCACTATATTTTTTGTTATATTTTAAAAATAGGAATCATGCCCGACTTATGTGGCTCAGTGGTTGAGCATAAAATTATGAACCAGGAGATCATGGTTCAATTCCTTGTCAGGTCACATTCTTGGGTTGTGGGCTCAATCCCTAGTAGGGGGTGTGCAGAAGGCAGCCGATCAATGATTCTCTCTTATCATTGATGTTTCTGTCTCTCTATGCTTCTCCCTTCCTCTCTGAAATCAATAAAAACATACTTTTAAAATATAAAATAAAAATAGAGATCAGTATTACCTGTTTCTTCAGAGGGAAAAAAAATAATAATTTAAAAAAATCTTTCTTATAGGTAACATATATGCACTTCGTACAGAATTTAGGGTGTACAATGAAAAGTAAGTTTTCTTCCACTGTGGACCCATAGGCCACCCAGAAACTATGATACCATTCCTCCACCTCCCCAGGCAACCACTTTTATCCATTTCTTATGTATCTTTCCGGGAATAATTTATGCGTTTACAATTGTGTGTCTGTATTTTACAATAGTAAATGATAGCAAATGATTCTCACTGTTCTATACCTTGCATTCTCATTGAACAATGTTCATTGCAGATAAGTTCATGAGCGTCCTCTCATTTTTTAAAAAGTTTTTATTATTCTAGTTTTTTTGTTTTTTAATTGATTTCAGAGAGGAAGGGAGAGGGAGAGATTGAAACATGAATGATGAGAGAGAATCATTGATCGATTGCCTTTTGCATGCTTCCTACTGGGGATTGAGCCCGCAACCCATGCATGTGCCCCTGATTGGAATCGAACCTGAGACCCTTCAGTCTGCAGGCAGACATTCTATCCACTGAGCCTAACCAGCCTGGGTTCATTTTTAAAATATATTTTTATTGATTTCAGAGAAGAAGGGAGAGGAAGGGAGACATAGAAACTTCAATGATGAGAGAGAATCATTGATCGCTTTCCTCCTGCACATCTCCCACTACGGACCGAGCCTGCAACCCAGGCATGTGCCCTGACTGGCATTTGAACCGTGACCTCCTGGTTCTTAGGTCTATGCTCAGCCATTGGACGCCAGCTGGGCTAGACATTTAGATTTTTATATAATTGAACATAGTAATTTCTTTTATGGCGCCTGAATTTTGGGTCATCTTAAAACTTTGAGGTATCTATAAATATTCTTGAGAATTTTCCCCCTAATTATAAAAAAGTGAAGTAATTTTAGATTTATATGCAGTTGCAAGAACTAATGCAGAGAGATCCCTTGTACACTTTGCCCAGTTTTCCCCAATGGTAACATTTTGCAAACTGTTATGTAATATGACAACCGGATATTGACATTGATACAACCTAGCAATTTTACTCAGATTTCCCCAGTCTTAGTTATACACTTTTGTTTGTGTGTGTATATTATCTCATACAATTTAATCACTATTTATTCATCATTACAGTCAAGATACTGAGCAAATCCATTTCCACAAGGACCCCTGGAATTGCCCTTTTATAACCATTCCCACTTCCCTCTCACCCAGCCTCTGACAACCTCACTAATATGTCCTCTATTTCTAAAATTTTGTCATTTCAAAAATGTTCAATATGTATTCTTTTTGGATTGGCTTTTGCTCTGCGTAACTCTCTAGAGGTTTATCCAAGTTGTATATATAAATATTTTGGTTCTTTTTAAAAATATATATATTTATTGATTTCAGAGAGGGAGAGGAAAAAAGAGAAACATCAATGAGGAGAGAGAATCATTGATCAGCTGCCTCCTGCACGCCCCTATACATACAATGGCTTTTCCTATACATCCTTTCCTATGCTAAAGTATAATTTATAAATTAGACACAATAAGACATTAAAAACAATAACTAATAATTAGGATAATTATAATAAAAATTATGTGAATGTGGTCACTCTCTCAAAATATCTTTTTGTCTTGTACTTATCTTCTTGTGATGATGTGAGATGAGGTGATGATACAATGCGTACGTGATGAGATGGAGTGAGGTGAATGACATAAGCACTGACATAGCATTAGGCTACTCTAGGGTAACCTGAACATAAGCACTGCGATACTGTAACAATTGATCTTATAACCCAGATGACTACCAAGTGAGTAAGTGCAGGTAGCATATACAGTGTGGATATGCTGGACAAGGGGATAATTCATGACCTAGCTACAATTGAGTGGGGTTGCACGAGACTTCATTACACTACGCAGAAGGGCAGGTAATTTTAAATGTATGAATTGCTTATTTCTGGAACTTTCCACTTAATATTTTCCGCTGACAAGTGAAACCTTGGGTAAGGGGGCGATGGGAGAACTGTATTACTTCCACGTTAACCATCTTTTTCTAACATGATTCTTCCCCTGGTAGCATTTCTGGGCAAGGGAGAAGGCATGGGCTGTCAGTGATACTGATACTCTGCTGCCCCCCTCAGCCGGCTCTGACCAACAAGTTTCTCTTTATCATTTAACCAGTGCAGTTAGTTGCTTTTTTTAAGGGTAAGCCAGGAGAAGGTGTCATATCAAAGGGGTGCGTTGGGGAAGAACTCAGCAATAGGGGCAACAGTAGAACAGATGCAAATATTCATTCAGGTTGCTAAGCAGCATTCCCAAGCTCTGAAACCATTTCCAAGCTTTCTGCAAGTTAAAATTCCACCATTTTGGCTAGTAATGTATTTCCTTTGCTGCTAGTTTTTCCCTAACAATAGAGCACTCATTTTATAGGAAGAGAGTCTATGTTATTCTAATTATGAATGAATTTAAAAAGCTGCATATGAAAGAGGAGATGTTTTTCTTGGTGCCCAGAAGGGATAAGGAGATGTTTCTCCGCATTCAGTTTGCCTGGTTCCTGGTTGACAAAGGTGTGCCAGGCTGTGGGACTGACATGGTTCTCTGGCAAAGGGTGGTGCTTGATGTCAGTTGTTCATTTACAGGTAGCTTTTGAAAATGGCTGCCTCTCATTTCACCGGGCTCACAGCTGTTGCTGATGTAATTAAAGATCTAGACACTCAGATAGCTGTAAGTAAGTTCTTTGAAGCCACTGTGAAAGGAACGTGGTGAATGTGCTTCTGATCTTGGTGACACAACAGCTGATGTCACAGATTCAAGCTCCTGGCTCTAAAATGTGGGAGTCCCAGCTGCTCCAGGCTAGGGACTCTGCATGTACTTAAAGATTGCTAACACTCAGAGGAAGTTTGCTCTTGATGACAAAAAAGGTTCTCACAATGGCTAAAAATTGTGTTGACTAGGTATAACCCTGACATAGAGTTAAGCATGTTTGGAAATGCCAAAATGAACTAATCTGTTTTTTTGAAGTTTTGTGGTTGGGTTTTAAGTATGTGACTGTGCCATGATTTATTTGAAGTTAACATTATTTGATGCTCAAAAATAATGCATGTAGTACTTAACCATGTGTTCTATTTTTACAAAGTCTTCAAAAATGTCTTGCTCATTCTAGTTTATTTTTGCACATGAGATTCCTCGTTTCATTTACTTATTTCAATTTTGTGGACTATTTCATTAAGTTTTTGGAGAAGAGACGGTTTCTAAATATCAGGTGAGAGTAATGAATATTCTTCATTCCTTACATTTTTATTTTTATTTATTTTTATTTATTATTATTTTTTAAATATATTTTATTGATTTTTTTACAGAGAGGAAGAGAGAGGGATAGAGAGAAACATCGATGAGAGAGAGTCATCGATCACCTGCCTCTTGCACACCCCCTACTGGGGATGTGCCCACAACCAAGGTACATGCCCTTGACTGGAATCGAACCTGGGACCTTTCAGTCTGCAGGCTGACGCTCTATCCACTGAGCCAAACTGGTTTTGGCATACCTTACATTTTTATTTTATTTTATTTTTTTAAAAGGAACACTTCTTTTTCTTTCTTTTTTTAATATATTTTATTGATTTTTTACAGAGAGGAAGAGAGTTAGAAACATCGATGAGAGAGAGTCATCGATCAGCTGCCTCTTGCACACTCCCCACCAGGGATGTGCCCGCAACCAAGGTACATGCCCTTGGCCGGAATCGAACCCGGGACCTTTCAGTCCCCAGGCCGACACTCTGTCCACTGAGTCAAACTGGTTTCGGCCATTCATTACATTTTTAATGTGCAGGTATCAAATAGTCACTATTCCTGAAATACTGAAGATCTTTCAAAGTCTGGTAGATCTATTATTTTACTTTCAAAACTCACCCTTTATTGCAGGTCCTCTGGAGCTAATCTTTGTGTTTGCTTCCACAGTTGATTGGTCTTGGTCCTCATACCTCCAGGAAGAAACAGGATCTCGATAAGCTCTATGAGCTGAAGTCCAAAGCTCGGCAGATTATGAACCAGTTTGGCCCCTCAGCCCTCATCAACCTGTCCAATTTCTCATCCATAAAACCGGAACCAGCCAGCACCCCTCCACAAGGTTCCATGGCAAACAGCACTACAGTGGTAAAGATACCAGGCACGCCTGGGCCTGGAGGGCGTCTCAGCCCTGAAAACAATCAGGTATAATCCTCTTACTCTGCTCTCTGCAGTCTTTTCTTATTTGAACCAGTAATGCTTTGAGAGATGCCCATCTCAGATGCTGCCTCTTCCTCTCCCTGAAAAAGCTCTTTTCCCTCCTTGGACTTCTGAAGTTCTATATTGGCCCAGCCGGTGCGGCTCAGTGGTGGAACCAGGAAATCGTGGTTCAATTCCTGGTCAGGACACATATCCGGGTTATGGGTTCGATCCCCAGTGTGGAATGCACAGGAAGCAGCCAATCAATGTTCCATCATTGATGTTTCTCTCTCTTCCTTCCTCTCCCTTCCTCTTTGAAATCAATAGAAATATATTTAAAGAAAAATAAATAAAATAAAATAAAATAAAATAAAATAAAAGGAGGTACCATGAGCCAAGCAGGTAGAAAGAAGGATGGAAGAGCATGTCCAAAACAGCAGAGGCACTGCATGATTTGTGTGGTCAGAAAATGGCAAATTATTTACTGTAGAGGGCAAATGAGGCACAGTGAGAAAAAGAGATGAGACTGAAGTAAATTGACAGATGTTGGCCTCTCTTCCAAGCTGCTCTTTCTGCCTTTCCCTAGGCTACTTCTGTCTTTTTTTGTTGTTGTTAATCCTCACCTGAGGATATTTTTCATTGATCTTTTAGAGAGAGTGGAAGAGAGAGGGAAAGACAGAAACATCGATGTGAGAGAAACACATCAGTTAGTTGCCCCCGATCAGGGCCCAGGCTGGGGAGGAGCCTGCAACCAAGGTACGTACCCTTGACCAGAATGGAACCTGGGACCCTTTGGTCCACTCTATCCACTGAGCCAAACTGGCTAGGGCGGAGGCTACTTCTGTCTGGAGAGTGTAATCTTACAGCAATGTCACCTGGTAGGCCAGACTGTTAACTCTTTGGAAATCAGAAAACTAAAACCATCGAATTTACAACCTTTCTGCATCATAGCATAACGAGTCCTTTTGTTTGTTGTCTTGATACGTGGCTGAAAATCTTCTCCTAATTAACTTTAGGTATTGACTAAGAAGAAGTTACAAGACTTAGTAAGAGAAGTGGATCCTAACGAGCAGTTGGATGAAGATGTAGAGGAGGTAAGAAGGGACTGGGTACCACAGGGGGTGTGTCCCTGAGAGCTAGTATATAATAGTGGGGAAGAGCATAGGCTTTAGAGGCAGACAAACCTGAATTTGTATCTTGGCTCTGCCAGTTAACAGCTTTGTTGCTGTGGATAAATTACTTAGGCTTTTTGAGACTCAGCTTCCTCCTGTGCTGGGAGGGTTATGACATTATTTATCTACATCACATGTGTCAAACACAAGGCCCGCGGGCCAAATCCGTCCCGCCAGGCCTTGCAATGTGGCCCGCACCGCGCTGTCATCACTGCACTCCGCTGCGTTTCCATCACAATGACAGTTTATGACTGTTCAGTAAACCATTCGGCCCGCGATTTAGGCTGGATTTTAGATTTTGGCCCCTTCTCTGATTGAGTTCGACACCCCTAATCTACATGATTATTATGAAAGTCCCATGGAATAATTATACAAGACACTTTATACTTAACACCTGCTGCTACTTTTGCCTGTCAAAAAGAACAGAGTCTCCTTCTCATAGGCAATCACAATAGTTTTAGTTGTTCTTAGATTATTCCTCCGAATTTCTAAGTAATATACTTAAACATATACTCTTTGACTCATTAATATTTTTAAGATTTAAAAAAATATATATTTTTAAATATATTTTATTGATTTTTTACAGAGAGGAAGGGAGAGAGATAGAGTGCTAGAAACGTCGATGAGAGAGAAACACCGACCAGCTGCCTCTTGCACACCCCCTACCAGGGATGTGCCCGCAACCAACGTACATGCCCCTGACCGGAATCGAACCTGGGACCTTTCAGTCCGCAGACCGACGCTCTACCACTGAGCCAAACCGGTTTTGGCTAAAAAAAAGTGTTGTTTTTTTTTTAGCCGGGACCGGTTTGGCTCAGTGGATAGAGCGTCGGCCTGTGGACTGAAAGGTCCTGGGTTCGATTTCGGGCAAGGGCATGTACCTTGGTTGCGGGTATGTCCCCAGTGGGAGCTGTGCAAGAGGCAGCTAATCGATGATTCTCTCTCATCGATGTTTCTAACTCTCTATCCCTCTCTCTTCCTCTCTGTGAAAAATCAATAAAAAATATATTAAAAAAAAATTTTTTTTTAATTAAATTTTTAGAGAGAGGGGAAGGTAGAGGTAGAGAGCGAGCTTGCACACCCCCTACTGGGTATCTGCCCCAGAACCCAGGCATATGCTCTGACCAGGCATCAAACCAGGGATTGACCCCTCAGTCCATGGGATGACACTCAACAAACTGAGTCACTCTGGCCAGGCTTAAAAGATTTTTCAATTGAGAGAGAGAAAGAGAGAGAGCAAACATCAATGTGAAAGTGAAACATTGATTGGCTGCCTCCTGCAAGCCTCCCACCGAGAATCAAGCCTGCAACCCATGCATGTTCTCTGATCAGGACTCAAACTGGCAACCTTTCTTTTCTGTGGTACATGGGATAATGCCCAACTAACTGATCCACATCAGCCAGGGCTGATTTATTAATTTTATAATAGTCTATTGACTTCCTACTGTGGTAGATGACAATTTTAGAGTCTTTTTCCTATTCTCAATTTTTATATGTACCTTAGTATATCTCTTTTTTTCATCTGTTGTGCTCTTTTTGGAGGCTTCTTTTACTCTAGAAACTTCTGTGCCTTAATGCTGGGATGATTTTGTATATTTTTTGGGATGTTTTTGTTTTGCCTTTGTGAGTAATATGTAATGATAGAGAAAGAAATTGCAGATTATGCTGAAACCGGTTTGGCTCAGTGGTAGAGTGTCGGTCTGCAGACTGAAGGGTCCTAGGTTCGATTCCGGTCAGGGCCATGTACATTAGTTGCGGGCACATCCCCAGTGTGGGGTGTGCAGGAGGCAGCTGGTTGATGTTTCTTTCTCATCAATGTTTCTAGCTCTCTATCTCTCCCTTCCGCTCTGTAAAAAAATTAATAAAATATATTAAAAAAAAGAAAATGCAGCCGAAACTGGTTAGGCTCAATGGATAGAGCCTCGGCTTGCGGACTGAAAGGTCCCGGGTTCGATTCCAGTCAAGGGCATGTACCTTGGTTGCGGGCATATCCCCAGTAGGGGGTGTGCACAAGGCAGCTGATCAATGACTCTCTCTCACTGATGTTTCTAACTCTATCTCTCTCCCTTCCTCTCTTTACAAAATCAATAAAATATATTTAAAAAAAGAAAAAAAAAGAAAATGCAGGTTATAAAGACAGTATAACTCCATTGTTTGTTTTAACCAGAGGGAAAATATTTGCCTTTTTTGTATATGTGTGGTCATTTGGAATAGCACCTTTATTGAGATGTAATTCCTGTATCATAAAATTCATCCATTTGAAATCTATAATTCGGTGGGTTTTACAGAGTTGTGCAACTGTCAACACAATCAATTTTGGAACATTTTTGTCATCCCTAAAAGAAACCCATACCCATTAGCAGTCATTTCCCATTTTTTCCCAGCCCCCACTGCCCTAGGCAACCAACTACCAATATATTTTCTATCTTTGTATCAATAGATGTGCCTATTCTAGACATTTCAAATATATGGAATCATAATGTTTGGTCTTTGTGACTGCCTTCTTTCAGTTAGCATAATGAGTCTAAAGGTCATCCATGTTGCAGAGGACATTATTACTTCATTCCTTGTTATGGCTGAATAAACACTTCATTATGTGGACACTAGAGGCCTGGTGCACAGATTCGTGCGCCATCGGGGCCCCTCAGCCTAGCCTGTGGGGGTCAGGCCGAAACCAGCAGTCGGACATCCCCTGAGGGGTCCTGGATTGGAGAGGGTGCAGGCTGGGCTGAGGGAACCCCCACACACACATAAATTTCTTGCACCAGGCCCCTAGTTCTTAAATAATGAGCCATTAAAAAGCTGATTTGAATCAGAACTTATTGACTAATAGGCTTTGTCCAGTAATGTGCTGGGAAATGTTTAACAACAGGCTCTGTAAAGAAAATGACCCTGGTTTTCAGCATTTTCGGATTTCTGGGATGTAAAATTCCCACTATGCCCTATTTTAAGTTATCGACATATTGTTGCTGAATGCAAAATTGGTAAAAGTGCAAAAATTGACTTTCATGAGCTCATCTCAGCTGGCTCTAGGGTACCATTGGCTCCACTTCAGAATAATTGATCCACAAATCGACCTTTTATTGGGGGCTTTCTAAATATCAGTATCTGTAAATCTTTTCTCTGGAGTCATTTAACATCTCTAGAGAAAAATCCTCCAGATTTCTATCTGGAGGGCTTATCCCTAGCTTCTAACATTCTGGAAGCAAGAAAAGAGAAAGGGGCTGTGTCTCTCCCCTTGCTCTGCTATGTCTGGTATATTTTTTTTAATTGATTTTTTACAGAGAGGGAGAGAGAATTAGAAACATCGATGAGAGAGAATCATCGATCAGCTGCCTCTTGCATACTCCCTACTGGAGATGTGCCCGTAACTGTAATCGAACCTAGGACCTTTTGGTCCTCAGACTGATGCTCTATCCACTGAGCCAAACTGGTTTCGGCTGTCTGGAATATTCTAATCCAGAGCCACATCCCTTCATTTTCCCTGGGGAATAAGCCTACTGTGTTCTGGGTCAGGTAAGTGTGGCTGCTTTTGGGGTGCAGGTTCAGTGGACTGCTGGGTGTATTAACATGTAACAATTCCCCAATTTTTAGTTCCACACCTCAGCTTAGTCTTCGATGATAAATGGAACTTCAAAATCCTGATTCTCTTAGGGGTTGTGAAGGGAATCAGTTTAATTCTCATTGGTGTCCTCTCTATAGGCACTTGGTTTGTAACTTCTGTATGCAAGTTCAGTTCTCCCTCTCAATCTGTTATCTCTATAGCAAAAATTTACTTTAAAAGTTTATTGGAATTTCTTTTCATTAGGTTTTCTTTCCTGTTGAGGATTTATATATGTCTTTTTCTTTACTGTTATTTTCATGAATTTAGGGAAGGAGAAGAGGTCATTTTGAGAGTTGACCTGGCATGTTTAATCATAAGTATTTCCTTTAGATGGTATCCATTTGGTTCCATAGGAAAAGATGACAACGCATTAATGGCCCAGCAGAACAAGGAATGTCTACATCTATGATAGTAATTTTATTTTAATTTTTGGTCAGCAAAGGAAGCCATGGGAAGGCATTGACTTAAAATTTCAGTTTCTTCATGTAGATTTTTAGCTTTGGAATTCTGATTTTGTTCATCACACACTCCAGGATTAATATAATGAAGTGGAAAGAACCCAGGATTTGGACTCAGAACCTTGAGGTTGAAACCTGGTACCACTGCTTAGTAGTTACATAGCCATGAGCAAGATAGTCTCCTTGAGTGACAGCATCCGCTGCTGTAGAATCAGGGTAAAATCCATGCCCCATTTTTTTCACAGGATTATTATAGGGACTGGATAAGATAATGGAAGTAAAAAGGCTTTAAGAGACTGTGAGTGAGGAGATAATAATAATAATTAACTTTTGTTTTCCCACCTAATTCATAAAACGATATGGGGGTGAGGGATTGGGCTGGTTGGTGCCTGCTAGGTAGGAAGTACAGAAAGCTCATCCTCAGGAAGGTGTGAGCTGCACTCCAGCTGGTTAACGAGTTGTGTGTTTCTGTCGCCATCCTCACGCTTCCTCTCTCTTAGGCCAATGCTGACTAGAGGCCCTCTGACCGGGAGCCTGACTGAATATGTGGTTCAGGCAGATAAACTTGTCCCAGCAACAGGAGCTGAACGTGCCAATGACATGGTCCTCTCTCCCGCTTCTCCCCAGATGCTGCTGCAGATTGCTGATGATTTTATCGAGAGTGTAGTGACAGCAGCCTGCCAGCTTGCTCGGCATCGCAAGTCCAGCACCCTGGAGGTGAAGGATGTCCAGCTGCACCTAGGTACGTGGTCCCCTTTCTCCCCAAGGTGTCCCCAGGGTTCCTCCTTCAGGACCATCATGGAAAGTGTGGTCGGAGGAACCTTTGTGCCAGGATCAGACTTTCAGGCTCTGGTATTTACGTATTCCCAGGCATTGGGTTTGCCACTCTCTGCCTGTGTCACTTTATCTTTCTTACTTAGTGTCTCTGAGAGTCCATTTCCTCATTTGTAAAGTGGAGATCATAATATCCTCCTTACAGGGTAATTGTGAGGATTATGAATTAGGTTTGTAAAATGACTGGCACAGGACCTGGCTCAAGGTCCCGTGTTTCCCTTCCAGTTTTTAGCTTATTTATGCATTTTTCCAAGAAAATTATAATTATAACGTGTATATAAATTTGTATTCTGCTTTTCTACATAACAGACACTAAATTTGAGCTTGCGTTTTTCTGGGAGATACTCATCTAACACATTTATTTTTTTACATTTATAGAACTGTACATGTATTTTTTCTTCCTTATGATTTTCTTAACATTTTCTTTTCTCTAGCTTACTTTATTGTAAGAATAAGTATGCAATACATGTAACACACAAAATTATGTCTGTTAACTGTTTATGTTATCGGTAAGGCTTTGGGTCAACAGTAGACTATTAGTAAACTTTTGGGGAAGTCAAAAGTTATACATAGCCCTGACAGGTGTTCTCAGTGGACAGCCCTCGGACCAAACGGTCGCGGGTTCGATTCCCGATCAAGGGCAAGTACCTCAGTTGCAGATTTGATAGGAGTAAGACAACTGAAAAACGACTCCCTTTCTGTGGAGCTGCATGGAAACCTTAGGACTCAGCGTCCATGGCTTTGACCCATTTACTTTGCAAGAAAGTCAAATGGTAGCCATTGAACTTTGGCACGAGACACGAGATTCCCCCATTTGTATTCCATAGAATCCCTCTGCAGGGTTACTGTTACTTAGCTTAGCTGACTGCTTAGATTCATCCCCCCTGACCCTTGTCTGAGGGTCACACTGCAGCTGCCCCTGCCCGCCCAGTCCCCTTATCTCTGTGCTGGCCTCTTCCTTGCAGAGCGCCAGTGGAACATGTGGATCCCAGGATTTGGCTCTGAAGAAATCCGACCCTACAAAAAAGCTTGCACCACAGAGGCTCACAAACAGGTGAGGAGTCATCAGAGCCCAGGGCGGCCACAGCTGATCCCTTGAGCTACCATTTGTGCAGGCCACAGCTCCCACCACTGCAGTTATGGCTCCCTCTCACAGAGCAGCGCTCCATGGCAGATCAGTCAGATATGTCCTTGATGATTATCTGTTCCCACACGGGGTGGGGGGTGGGGTGGGGGGGACAGGGGACCTGTCTCTGGTTTGTCTCTCAACTCTGATGGGCATTGCTTAAAGCTGTTGAATCCAGCTTCTTTAATATGGATGGAACCTTATGGATATATCGTTCCATCCATATTAACCTGCCATCTCCTTAATGAAGTCTTCCTTCATTGTTGGTACTTTGAACATACAAATGGTTCCATGACTGAGGACAGGTTAAGGAAAGCAGAAATACCTGTGCTTGTGGTGAGAGGTAGCACTCAGACTCTCTGCCAGGCATTCTGATCTCCATCCTAGCTTAACCTTTGTTCTCCGCCTCTCCTACCATGGAACTGAGTAGTCAGTGTGAGAATCTAACCCCACCTCTGCTGTGGAGCAGGTTGTCCCTGTCATTGGTCAGTCTCGTGGCAATGGTGGCATCCCTTGGCAAGGCTGTCATGCTTGTCTTAATTTAACTGGCTACTCGGAATTGAAAAGTGAGCTTGCCCTGGCTGGTTTGGCTCAGTGAATAAAGCATCGACCTGGGGACTGAAGGGTCCCGGGTTCGATTCCGGCCAAGGCACATGCCCAGGTTGTGGACCTGATCCTCAATAGGGGCGTGCAGGAGGCAGCCAATCAGTGATTCTCTCCCATCATTGATGTTTCTAGCTCCTCCTTTCCTCTCTGAAATCAATAAAAATATATTTTAAAAAAAGAAAAGAAAAGTGAGCTTCATCTAAGCTTGACAGGCATACCTGGAGCCTCTGTCCCTTGCTTTTCCATAGAGTGGATCTCTGGAGGGTATGTTTCCAGAGCTCACGGAGGAAGCCCTGCAAAGGAAGCGGTCAATAGCCCAAATCGAAGGACCACGGTGTTCTTCAGAAAGGAGTCCCTCCAGATACCAGATGGTCATTTGGTCTCTTCCCAAATTATCCACTTTTTAGCCATATATATATATATATACGGCTAAAAATTATATATATATATATATATATATATATATATATATATATATATATATATATGTAGTCTTACCAACAAATATAATGTTTGAACAATCTCTTGGTCAAAAAGAGTGAGCCAAGCAAATCAGTAATTTGGCCATGGTGGTAGTACTGTAGTAAAATTTGAAGTCCATGATCTGACTGTTTCCCTGATGGGTTGTGGTAGAAGTTGTTGGTGTCAGTTTCCTTCATTGCAGGTCATCAAGTGATAAATGGCAGCAGGCTTCAAACAAAGGCCCCTTTCCTGTTTCTCCACCATCAGAGGAGAGTTTGGTGTGGGTGGGGAGCCGAGAACTCACCGGCTTTGATGGCTCTTCCCCTTAAGTCCCCAAAAGGCAGGAGCTGTCACCTTTTCACCTTTTGCCATCCTGCCAGCCTGGGGCCCTGCAGATGGTCCTCAGATTAGGTGGAGCTTGCTGATGAGCATCCCAGAAAGTTCCTGACTCTAACCCGTGCGTTGCCTCTTTCTCTCTCCTTCCAGAGAATGGCATTGATCCGGAAAACAACCAAGAAATAACACATGGAGAGATCAGGGAATGGACAACATTGTATTTGGAGATACTTGAGCTGAGACCTCAGCCATCTCACCTTTGGATTTTTTTTTTAATGCTTTACAGAGAAGCATATATTTTTTATTAACAGTGCAGCAATATCTATAATGACTGAGAGGATCTGCCAAAAGAATAAAGCCTCCTGCCCCCACTTTGGCCCCTTTCCCTGCCGTCTCAAAGAGGAGCGATTTATCTTCCAGAGAAGATTTTATTTGTGGTTTATTATATAAGTGATTGAATCTGGAACAAAGCAGTATCGTCTTGTTTGGTGAGACAGTATTAGCAGGATTGGTAGAGGTTTTTGTTTCCTTCTCCCTTCCTCTTTCCCCTGTACTTTGTAATGTCAGTGTTTATATGAATACGACTTTCATTTGCTTTTCCAGAATAAAAATGTTATTAATTGAGAGACACAGGATGCATGGCTTACAGCCTTGGAAATCCCAGAGGGAGTCAGGAGCAGCAGCAAGTCTGATGCAGCGCCCCAGTCAGCAGGTGGCAGCAATGTTAGCCATTTCTGTGGTTAAGAAAAAACCACAGGTTCCCATTATGGTTCTCTAAGGAAGGCTACACTGTTAGTCGAAATTTGAGTTCGGTTTCTCTGCCATAGAATTGGGTAGGATGACCTCTCCTGAGCCCCCAGCTGAAGAGGCATCCTGGCTTGGGCAAAGCCTGCTCTTCTGGAATTCCTAGAGAAAGTTGTGCTCATCCTGAGCCCGAAGAAGGGACGGGGAAAGGCCTGTCTGCTCTCTGTTGTTGGTATCCCTGGTCCTGGAGTTTTCACCACCCCATAGAGGAAACCGGGCTCACTTAGCATCCTCCTGTCCTGGGCCCTGCAGAGCCCTGGTGGGTCCTGACGGTTTCACGGCTTCAGGGGGTGTGGCTGTTCTGCTCAGAGAACACCAGCACAAGCACATCCTCCTTGCCCTGCTTTGGTTCTCTGTCTCCTGAGGTTGGCCTGCAGTGGGATCCTGCTTTTCACTCTCATTTAGTTTGGCCCCATGACCCCTCTCTCCACATCCTCATAGATCTCTTGAGTGAGCAGCTCAAAGGCTGTGCTGCTGGTACTCTTGCTCTTGGCTGAAGCCTCAACATAGTGAGCCCCCAAAGAAGAGGCAACCAGCTTCTCCCCTTCTCCTAGCGCCATCCGTCAGCCACCAGGTCATTCTTACCTGCCGCCAGGAAGAGGATGCCGAAGGGTTCGCTTTCTCCAGAATCCCTGGATGCCATGTCCTGTTGGTGACATCAAAGAGCAGAAGGCCTCCCGCCACGTTTTGATAGTAGGAGCCAGTCACTGACCTCGGGAGCCAAGGAGTCCAGAATTAGTGTTAAATCCTCCATTGAGGACAGAAGGGGATGGAGCATTCAGGCAGTTTAGTGGAAAGAGCTGGGATAGAGCCAAGAGACCTCAATTCTCAGTCAGGTGTGTGACAGGTAAGTAAGTAGCTTCACCTGAGTTCTGTTCCATCTGCATGTGGAAGGACCTTGTTACTCAACACGCATTTGTGAGCTGGGCCCAGGCCCGGGCCCGGGCCTGGCACTGGGTTATGTGATGAGTAAAATAAAAACGCAGGGAGCAATCCTGTGATTGGGTAAATATAAAACTCACTGTGGCCGAAACCGGTTTGGCTCAGTGGATAGAGCGTCGGCCTGTGTACTGAAGGGTCCCGGGTTTGATTCCAGTCAAGAGCATGTACCTTGGCTGCGGACACATCCCCAATGGGAGGTGTGCAGGAGGCGGCTGATCGATTATTCTCTCCCATTGATGTTTCTAACTCTCTATCCCTCTCCCTTCCTCTCTGTAAAAAAAAAAAAAAAAAAAAAAAAAAAAAAAAAAAAAAAAAAAATCAATAAAAATATGTAATTTTAAAAAACTCATTGTGATACACTACAAAGGAGAAGTTCACAGGGCCCGGGGGAGGGGGTCTGACCAGTTGAGCCATAATCTTTTTTTTTTGATCCTCACCTGAGGATATTTTTCCATTGATTTTTAGAGAGAGTGAAAGAGTGAGGCAAAGACAGAAAAATATTGATGTGAGAGAAACACATCAATTGGTTGCCTCCTGCAGCACCTGCCTGTAACCAAGGGACGTGCCCTTGACTGGAATTGAACGGCGGGAGGTGGGGTTCGGTCCGCAAGCCAACACTCTGTCCGCTGAACCAAAGGATCTCTCGTATGCATGTGTGCCATCCCTGAGGCATGTGGTGGGCCAGGCCATGGTGGGCCTTGTCGGCCCCAGCAAAGGGAGTCCTGATCCAAAAACTAACACTGAAGGATTTTAAGCAGGAGCGTGGACATGGTCTGCTTTGCATTTTGAAAAGATCACTGGCCAGGCAGTGGAGAACAGACAGACTGGAGAGGAAGAGAGGGAGAAACTGTAAAAGCAGAAATTCATCAGAAGGCTGCTGCCTGGTTGGAGTGGAGGTGGGCGGTAAAGTGGAGAGAGAGAGGGCTACGTTTGAAAAGGAAGCGGTGTCAGGGAGGGGAGGGAGATCTGAGGAAGATAAGAGATCAACTGAAGGACTTGTATAATGCATATAAGTACAACCAATGGACACAAAACTCTGGGGAGGGATGGCATGTATGGTATATGTACACAGATAATAATTTAATAAAAAAATAAAAAATAAAAAGGAAGCGGTGCCCTCACGGGCCTGGGTGACAGGATTGAGGGTTTAGGAGAGGGTATCACCCAGTGAGCTGTAAGGAATCCTCTGGCTTGGAGTGTCCATCTCTGGTGCAGTTCCGCCCCACCCTGGGCATGCGGCCTTCTGCCCTCTAAGCTAAGTAACCTCACAGGGTCGCTGCAGGGTTGATAATAAGCAACAAGCAAAAGGAGTGGCTCACAGAGCAGCAGCCCCTCCCTGAGGGGTTCATATAATCATTTAATCCTCATAACTGTGAGATAAAAGCTGCTATTATCCCCTCTTTACAGAGGGGAAACCTGACATTTTCTCTGCCTTAGAGGTAGCCCCTGGCCTGGGTGGCAGGCTTCCTGCTGGTTCTTCAATACTTGGCCAGGATTTTGAGAGGGAATGGACATTTTTTTCTTCCTCCTCCAGGGATGTGGGGCTTTGTTTTGAGCAACTGACAGTCAAATCCCACCTCCATCCCCAGGATTAGCTGCTTAGCCCACAGGCAAGCTCCCGTGTGGACCTATATCCTGGGCGGGAAGCTCCTGGAGACTAAAAACCACAGCAAGTTAAGGGCACTCCCGGCTGCTTCGCTTCATTCTAGCGCTAGGGCTCCAGCTAGCCTCCAGGCCACATGTGTCAAACACAAGGCCCGCGGGCCAAATCCGTCCCGCCAGGCCTTGCAATGTGGCCCACACCGCGCTGTCATCACTGCACTCCGCTGCGTTTCCATCACAATGACAGTTTATGACTGTTCAGTAAACCATTCGGCCCGCGATTTAGGCTGGATTTTAGATTTTGGCCCCTTCTCTGATTGAGTTCGACACCCCTACTCCAGGCTCTCCCTGTACTTACTGGCTGCTGCTTTTTTAATTTTTATTTATTGATTGATTTTTAATTTTATTTTAGAGAGGAAGGGAGAAGGCTAGATAGAAACATTGATGAAAGGATCAATTGGCTGCCTTCTGCATGTCCCCTACTGGGTATTAGGCCCTCAACTGAGCATATGCCTTGACTAGGAATCAAACCTATGACCTCTTGGTTCATGGATTGATGCTCAACCACTGAGCCCCACCAGCCAGACCTTACTGGCTTCTTAACCTCTATGGGCCTCGTTCTCCACATCAGTAAAAGGGAAAATTAAAGTAACTACCTTATACATTACACTAGGGGCCCAGTGCACGAGTCTGTGCACCTTGAAAGATACTGTGGGCTTCGAGGCTTTGGTGGGCACAGGGCGGGTTGCAGCTCACTGGGTGACACCAACCTCCACCCCTGCCCAGCCCCTCCAACTATGGCCCCTAGTCCCTGTCTGCTGGCAGCGCCAATCTCGCCGCCACCACTCCCACACGCTCAGCCCCACGTGCACCCACTGATGGCACAGAGCAATTGGGGCTGGCACCAGCAGCAGGCATGAGCAGGGCTGGAGCTGTCAGTGGGTGCGAGCAGTGGCTGCTGCCCCGATCACCCCTCAGGAGCAGGGGGAGTTGGAGAAGCCCTCAGGGGTGACGGGGGCTGGCAGCAGCCACTCACACCCGCTGATGGTGCCAAGCGATCTGGACCTGGTGTGAGTGGTGTCTCTGACGCTGGTTGCAGGTGAGAGCGCTGGGTGGGACTGCAGCATGTGGGAGCAAAGAATTTTCAGTAAACACCAGAGGCTCACCCCAATGACAGCGACCTGCGTCCTGCTTTGGTCTGGTGCCCCACCTCACCTGTTCCACCATCCCACTGCAGCAATGCCCACCATGTTCCACATGGGATGGTCAGCGCACGTATTAGCAACCAGTTGTTTGGTTGTTCTGCCCTTCGGTCTATTTGCAACCTAGGATACACCAAGGTTGCAGGTTTGGACACATACAAGAAGCAACAAATGAATGCATAAATAAGAACAAATCAACATTCCCCTCTCTCTCTTACGTCAATGAATAAAAGTAAAAAAAATAAAATAAGTGCTCAGTTTGTGCTGGCAGCTGTTCCTTCTGCCCAGATCTCTCGGCGCTTGCTCTTTCTCCTCCAGGTTTCCGCTCACAGGTCATCTCCTCAGAGATGAGAGATCTGCTCTAAAGGACCACATCACTCTGTCCCATCTCCCTTATCTGTGCTCTTTATGACACCACAACTAGAAATAGTTTGGTTCACTTATTTACTCTTTTTTCTCTCTCTCTCCCATTAGAATGTCAGCCCCAGAGGCAATTCTGTATCCCCAGAGCCCAGAACAGAGTGGATGTTCATTTTCAAAAATCTGATGAAGGAATAATAATATGCTCTAAAGCAAATCATGTCCCTTTTCTAGCCCCAGCTTTCCCATCTTTGAAATGGGGATAATTGTGTCAGTCTTGCAAGATTGTCATAAGGATCAGTGAAGACCTTTTTGGAAGAGGAGGCAGGGAGAAAGCAGTGCACAGGGAGACACCACCTGTTCCAGTTGTCATAGGGAGGAAGCTAAGAAACTCATCCTGACTGAAAACCTCCCAAGAACCCTAGGATGGAGGGAGTGTCAGCCACCCGTTACTGAGAAAGAAACAGGCTCAAAGAGGTGCAGTAACTGTCTCCAAGTCACAAAATTAAGTAGTCAGTGCTCTTTTTTGTTGTTGTTATTTAATATATTTTATTGATTTCTACAGAGAGGAAGGGAGAGGGGCAGAGAGTTAGAAACATTGATGAGAGAGAAACATGGATCAGCCGCCTCCTGCACACCCGCCACTGGGGACCTACCCGCAACCAAGGCACATGCCCCTGACCGGAATCGAGCCTGGGACCCCCTAGTCCACAGGTCGACGCTCCATCCACTGAGCCAAACCGGTCAGGGCAGTGAGTGCTCTTTTTGCTATGGCAACTGTCCATGCCCTTCTCATGCCCACTGGCCCAAAGACATCCTCAAGACACCCCCTCTACACCTGCTGAGATTCTTCCCAACACAAGCACCGTCTCCTCTGTGAAGTCATCTTTGATTGCTCCAGGACATGCCCTGCCTTGTCCACAGGAGGCAAATTCTGAGATTAGTGTGTAAACATTTACATTTGATCTTGAACAACTCTGGGGTTAAGGGGGCTGACTTGTGCAATAGAAAATCTGGGTGTAGCTGAAACCGGTTTGGCTCAATGGATAGAGCATCGGCTTGGGGACTGAAAGGTCCCGGTTCGATTCCGATCAAGGGCATGTACCTTGGTTGTGGGCATATCCCCATAAGGGGGTGTGCAAGAGGCAGCTGATCAATGACTCTCTCTCATCGATGCTTCTAACTCTCTATCTCTCTCCCTTCCTCTCTGTACAAAACCAATAAAATATATATTTTTTAAAAGAAAACAAGAAAATCTGGGTGTAACTATACCTGACCTCCTTCATCCCCACAGACCCATCCATGGAATTCACCCTGAATAACGGGTTTGAACTACATGGGTCAATTGGAAAAATCCACGTATAAGCGGACCTGCACAGTTCAAATAGTTCAAAATCATGCTATTGAAGGGTCATCTGTAGAAGGGCATTATTGAGATCAATAACTGCTCGGGCCTAGCTGGTATTGCTCAGTGGTTGACCCATGAACCAGGAGGTTGCTGCTGGATTCCAGGTCAGGGCACATGCCCAGGTTGTGGGCTCAGTCACCAATAGGGAGCATGTAGGAGGCAGCCAATTGATGGTTCTCTCATCACTGATGTTTCTATCTCGCTTTCTCCCTCTCTCTGAAAATCAATAAAAACATATCTAAAAAAATAAACCTGTTTGGGGGAGAAAAGAAGGGAAGCAGGACTGAGCAGTGGGAGGATCTATCTGTGATGTGACAACAATGGCTTCAGTGGACTCCATAAGCCTATCTACATAATAAAAGGCTAATATGCAAATTGGCCAAACGACAGAACCACTGGTCTCTATGACGCTCAGCACAGGACCTGCGCCTGGTGGTCGGTGCACTCCCACAGGGGGCGTTCCGCTCTGCCAGAAGCCAGGCTCACTGCTGGCGAGCACAGTGGCAATGTCAGGAGCCTCTCCCACCTCCGTGGCAGCGCTAAGGATGTCCGACTGAAGGCTGGAAGCAGGCCTAAGCCATCGATTGGACATCCCCCAAGGGCTCCCAGGCTGAGAGGGTGCAGGCTGGGCTGAGGGGACCCCCCGCCCCCCACAGAGTGCATGAATTTTGTGCACCAGCCTCTAGTGAGTGATAAAGCAAGGCTTGATCTTCAGAGTTGTTCAGCATTGGGACAAGAAGGCCTGCCCTCTGAATACCCTGCCCCCATCAGATCCACACTGGATGTGGGCTGCCCTGAGGGGTTGGGAGTTTCCAGAGTGTCTTCCTCATTCCTCAGCACTCACAGCAGCTGGAGGGCTGGGGGGGGGGGGGGGGGGGGGTGTAAGGGGGAGGAGGAGGCTCTGGGTTCTTCAGCTCTGCCTCCCAGATCCAGATTCAGTCCCTGCCTTAGACCAAGGGCAGTGGGCTGCCACAGCCACAGCTTATTTCCATGCCCAGACTCAGCCAAGCCTGAGGGCCTAAGGAGGCTCTGAGCCAGGCCCCCCTGGAATTCCCCGCACTCACCCTCACCTGCGTGGCCCGCGGCCCGTGTACAGACTCGGCGTCTCAGCGTCCCAGCCCCGGAATGCTGCTGGAAATGGCCACATCCCAGCCAAGAGGAGCGGTGATGACAGTTCTTATCACTTAGTTCTCAGCAAGTGGCAGGATCTGGCTGAGCATATCCCATCCATCGTCTCATTCCTGCACCTCCCCATCCCCCACCCCCTCGAGGCAGGGTGTTTTATGAGGAAGCAGGCTCAACAGGAAGCTGTATACCTGCCTCTAGAACTTGCTTTCATGGATTGATTTTAGAGAGGAAGGAAGACATTGATTTATTGCTCCACTATTAGTTGATACTTGTATACGATCTAACTGTATGGAGGTGACACTCTAACCAGCAGAGCTGCCTGGCCAGAGCCTAGACATTTCTGGGGCAAAGGGGCTGAGCTCCGAGACCCAAAATCCAGGAGCCATGACGATGCCAGGACATTGTTTATATGAACCCTTTGGGCAGGTTCCGCCATCTGCCCTTTGGAAAGACAGTCTCCATCCCACTAGCGCATCTGAGGTTGGCACTGTTATAACCCTTTTCCTCCCGGAGTCAACACTGGCATGGGCCCGCAGGCGGCTTCCTGCTGGGGGGCCTGGGCTCTGGAGGCCTGAGGATGAGCCGAACGCCCCCCCAGCCCTCCTCCATCTTGATGTCCCCCTGCTGCAGGGCCTGCTGGATGGCGGTGGCAAGAGTCTGGAAAGCGAGGTCCACGTTGCAGTTGTTTACGGCTGAGGTTTCCATGAAGGCCATGCCCAGGGAGGCAGCCAGCGCCTCTGCCTCCTGGGCCGACACGCAGCGGGCGCTCTCCAGGTCGCTCTTGTGGCCCAGGAGCAGGAAGATTGCCCTGTGGGGGCCCTGGGTGGCCAGGACCTCCTGGTGCCAGTCCGGGATGTGTTCAAAGGACTTCCTGTTTGTCACATCGAAGACCAGCAGGACACCCACCAGGTTCCGGTAAAAGGACCTGGTGATGCACCTGGTGGGACCGAGGAGGAAGCAGTGAATTGGGAGAGCCTGGTACCTTCTAGACACCCCCAGGGGCAAGAGTAAGGTGACCAGCCAAAACCGGTTTGGCTCAATGGATAGAGCATCGGCTTGGGGACTGAAAGGTCCCAGGTTCGATTCCGGTCAAGGGCATGTACCTTGGTTGCAGGCACATCCCTGGTGGGGGGTGTGCAAGTGGCAGCTGATCGATGATTCTCTCATCATGTTTCTAACTCTCTATCCCTCTCTCTTCCTCTCTGTAAAAAATCAATAAGATATATATATTTTTTTTTAAAAAAAAGAATGACATCTTTTATATATAAAAGAGTAAGGTGATCAGACGTCCCAATTTTCTTTTCTTTTTTTTAAAATATATTTTATTGATTTTTGTTCAGAGAGGAAGGGAGAGAGAGTTAGAAACATCAATGAGAGAGAGTCATTGATCAGCTGCCTCTTGCATAACCCCCACTGGGGATATGCCCGCAACCAAGGTACATGCCTTTGCCTGGAATCGAACCCGGGACCCTTCAGTCCCCAAGCCCACGCTCTATCCATTGAGCCAAACCGGTCCCGGCAGACGTCCCGATTTTCAACAACTGTCCCGCGGGACAAATTGTTGACGTCTGGTCACCTTAGGAGCTAGCTGCCCTGCATCCACTGACTGCCCCCCCCCCCTGCCCCCATCACAGAGCCCATTGCACCTGCCTGTCTCTCCCCCAGGAGCGCTCTGCTCAGTCAGGGAGTACTGTAAGCTGGATGCACATCCTGTGCGGACCGCTCCTCCAGCCCCGGAGGCGGCCTGATGTTCGCCTGCCCGAGAGTGCGCTTCCCCCTTCTGTGCCCCGCAAACTCCCAGGCATCCTCGCCTCCTTCCCCATCCCTGGGCCTGGCTCTCTGCGCTCCTGCGGGCTCCCTGGGCACCCACATCATTCACCCCAACGGGTTTCTTTCTTATTAATTTTTTGCAGAGGAAGGGAGAGGGCGAGAGACTAAGGGACATCGATGAGAGAGAAACATCCCTGCACACTGGGGCTGTGTCCGCCCTTGGCCGGAATCGAACCCGGGACCCTTCAGTCCGCAGGCCGACGCTCTATCCACTGAGCCAAACCTGTTTCGGCATCCCCTCCAGGTTTCAGTGTGGGGTGCCCCCCATCCCCAGGCCTGACCCTCCCGGCGGGGTGCGGGGTGGGGGCTGGGGGGAGGCGCAACAGGTCTCAGCGTCCGGCTGGGCTTGGCCGCCCCGCTGGCGGTGCCGGCGGCGGGACCAAGGGGAGGACTGAGGCCCGCGCCCTCACCGAGGGGCCCCCGCTCCTGGCCCTCCCCGCCCACCTGAAGCGCTCCTGGCCCGCCGTGTCCCACAGCTGCAGCTTGACGCGCGGCCCGGCCGGCAGGCGCAGCGCGCGCCCGTAGCACTCCAGGCCCGCCGTGGGCGCCGCGCGCTCCGGGCCCGGCTCCAGGCTGCCCGCCGCGCCCGCCACGAAGCGCCGCAGCAGCGCGGTCTTCCCCACCGCGGCGTCCCCCAGCGCCGCCACCCGGAACTGGTAGCGGCAGCCCGGCGCCCCGCGCTCCGCCGCCATCCGCGCCCGCGTCCGCCGCAGCCTCTGCCCCGGGCCCCGTCCCGCCCGGCGCCGGGGCCCGGAGGTCCGCCCGCCCCGCCCCGCCCCGCCCCCACGGGGCCGAGCGACCCGCCCCCGGGGCTCCGGGCGACCCGCCACCCGCGGGCGGAGACCGGAGCCCCCGGTGCTGTCCGCCCAGGAGCCCTGCCTCCCAGGAGACCGGCCGGTGAAGACCCCTGGGCAACCGCTTCCTCCGCAGCCTCAGTCTCCTCCTCTGTGAAATGGGGTGCGAGGGACCCCGCTTCTGGGGAGGAGCGAGAATCCAGACAATCCAGCGTGCGCCGCCCTGAGCTGCGGTGCTGGGCCGGCACCCCATTCATTCTTCTGTATGTTGGGATGGTTTCTCTCTCCACCCCCCCTCCTGTTAGTCCGGGGTGGGCCCTGCTGCTGGGTTTGGAGACCCCACTCAGAGAGAGGATGGTTGTAGGTGCTTCGTTCCTGTCCCCAGGGGGAGGACGGGATGAGGACGGGGCCTTTCTGGAGCCGCACTGGTCCTGACCCGGGGGGCTCCCGGCTCCCTGTTGGGGTTCAAGGTTCCACAGCCCCCGCTGCCTCCTCCTGCGGCCTGTGCTGGACCTCAGGCCCAGGCAGAGGCGGGGACCGGCCTGGAAACAGGCAGGACAGACAGACTGAAAGAGGAGGCCGAGGCCGGAGGCCAGGACACAGGCTTTGCTGGAGGAGAAGACCCGGCCGGGCTGCCTCGCGAAGGGAGAGAGCACATGGCGGGGTGAAGGCGCCTTCTGAGGGGAGGAAAGGGAAGGGATGGGGCTCGGCACTCGGCACACGCTGTTTGGTGGTTTCCTGAAAGGCACATGATTAGGGACCTAGGGACTTAGGATGGGGGGCTTAGGGTGTTTGGCAGGTGCTGATTGGTGGTTCGATGTACAGTCCATGTAAAGTGCCTGGCCAGGCGCTCAGGAATGTCCGGCCCCCAGGTGCAGGTTACGTCATACTCCGTCCATCGGTTGGGGGAAGGGAGGGTCTGTCACAGACAACTGTGATTCCATAGGCAGTTGTGGACGAAAAGGGGCCACGTGCTGACCTGACTGACTCAGGGAAGATCTGCATGGAGGCTTTGCAACCAAATAGTGGCCTGGAATTAAACTGTTAAAAATGCTGTTATTTATTTATTTCCCAGAGGAAGGGAGAGGGAGAGAGAGACAGAAACATCAATGATGAGAGACCGTCACTGACCAGCTGCCTCCTGCCTTAGGCCCCACAGCCCCAGCATGTGCCCTGTAACCTTCTGGTTCAAAGCTCGATGTTCAACCATGCCAGCCAGGCTAATTCTATTCTTTTTTAACACATTTTTATTTCTTTCAGAGGGGACAGGAGAGGGAAAGGTAGACAGAAACATTAACAATTTTTAAAAAAGAGAAAAACATCAATGATGAGAGACAATCATTGATCTGCTGCCTACTGCATGCCCCACACTGGGATCCAGCCCGAAACCGGGGGCATATGCCTGGACTGGGAATCAAACTTTTAGGGGCAAAAATAGAATATTGGGAACTAGCTATAGTTATGAGAACTGGCAAGGGCGGAATGTTTTGTTTTTGTTTTGTTTTTAAAAATATATATTTTATTGATTTTTTTTTTACAGAGAGGAAGAGGGATAGAGGGCTAGAAACATCAATGAGTGAGAAACATCGATCAGCTGCCTCCCGCACATCCCCCACTGGGGTTGTGCCCACAACGAGGGTACATGCTCTGGACCGGAATTGAACATGAGACCCCCCAGTCTGCAGACAGACGCTCTATCCACTGAGCCAAACTGGTTTCAGCTAGGGCGGAATGTTTTGTATGTCAACAGAGTGCAGTTGGCCTGTGGACTGGACAGCTAAGATTAACCAGGCCAGGTGGGCTGTTCCTTATGCTTTCTGGGCAGCAACCCTTTGTGAGGGTCAGTGTGCCCATTTTAATACATTCTATTGATTCTTTACAGAGAGGAAGGGAGAGGGATAGAGAGTTAGAAACATCAGTGAGAGAAACATCAATCAGCTGCCTTCTGCACACTCCCTACTGGGGATGCGCCTGCAACCAGGGTACATGTCCTTGACCAGAATTGAACCTGGGATCCTTGAGTCCGTAGGCCGATGCTCCATCCACTGAGCCAAACCGGTCAGGGTGAGTGTGCCCATTTTAGAGTGAAGTTCAGATGTGTGGCTTATTGCAAGTCACATAGCAGAGCTGGGACTCACATCTGAGTTTTTCTCACTGTTTGTAACCCCCTCGGTATGCCACTAAAGGAGGCCGCAAAGGGGGTCCTAAGAGGACCAGGTGGTCAGGTCCCACCTGGGTTAGGGGCCAGGGTCAGGCAGGCACATCTGCGTCCCAGATCCACTCCACCCTTTGCAGCCTGGCCTTCTGGCACGCAGGGCATCAAGGCTGGCGTTCCGGCTGGTCCCACACAAGTGGGTTTATCTTGTGGCAAACTGGTGGGATGGGGAAAGTACTCACTGTGCCACCATCACATCGTCGTGTCTCCTCCTCGCCTGCCCGTGAGCGGATGTTGTTATCCTGCCCGTTTTTTTACAAACGAGGAAACTGAGGCTCAGAGGAGTTAAGTAGCCACAGCCCAAGGCCACTCAGCAAGGAAGACAGACTACCTCCCAAGTCTGCCCAAGGCCAAGGCCACGTTTGCTGTGTTTGCTTCTGGCTAGACGGGCTGGGAATCCGAGAAGGCCCACGTTCCCTTCCGGCTGATTCTGAGCAAGTCAACGAGGAGCCACATGGTCGGATTCCGGGCTGTGGGTCTCCTCCGCAGCAGGGCCTGGAGGAGCCCGTCCCTGTTCGCCCCCTCCCTCCGGGGGCAGGAGGGGAAGCTGGGGCCCCGGGGACCGGGAGGCGCCTCAGGAAGGTGTGTGGGTGGCAGGGACCCTCTCCACTGGCTCTGCCCAGCGAGTCTGCCCGCTCCCTCCGCCTCACCCATTCCTGCACCGGAACCTCTTCCCACCTCCTCTGCTAGGCGCCCAGCCCCTTCTTCACCTCCCACGGGCGCTGAGCACCTTTCCTCAGGCCTCAGGGTCGGGGCCCGCAGAAGCCCCTCGGTGCCTGGCCAGTAAGGTCACATGTCACTTTGTCCACGGCGATGTCCGTCTCCCTCCCTCCGAGGCTTGAGTCCCTTGAGGGCAGGAACAATGGTTGTATCCTCAGTGCTTGACACAAAGTAGAAACTCGGTAAATATGTATGGTTGAATGAATGAATGAACGTGGCTAAGTGCTGTTCACTCATTCATTGATTCAGTCACTCAGTCAGTCAGATACCACAACGGAGCAGGATCCAAGAAGGTGTAGAGTCAGAGAAGACCCCTGGGAGGAGGGGGTGCTGAAACTGGTCTCTAAGGACAGCGGCAGCTGGGAGGCCAGGGCAGAAGGGCTGCTGAGCAAGGGCAGGGAGGAATGAACAAGCTTGAAATGCAGTTTGAACCCAGTCTTCCCAGAAGACTTTATGGTCAGCACATATGGGCAGTGCACTGTCAGCATCAGGCTCCTTGAATTTCCTCTCCCCGTGGGCTGGGGTCATGTGCCTGCCTGACACATGAATCCAGACGTCAGCTGACCTGAGGGCAAGTTGAATCCGCTCCGCATCCCTGCTCCCCCTTCTGCTCAGTGAAGCACATCACAGTGCCCACCTCACAGGGTAGTCCAGGAGGAACTGTGTAACCTAACAGGTAAGTGTATGCATATTTGCATTAGACAGATCTGGGTTCAAGTCCCAATATGGCCTTGGTCAAGTTTTATTCATTCATTAATTCATTCACTTAATAATTATTTAAATAAGTGCTAGCACCCTGGCTTGTTTGGCTCAGTGGATAGAGCATCGGCCTGCGAACTGAAGGGTCCCGGGTTTGATTTTGATTCCAGTCAGGGGCACATACTCGGGCTATGGACTCGATCTCCAATGTGGGAAGTGCAAGAGGCAGCTGATCAATGATTCTCTTTCATCATTGATGTTTCTCTCTCTCTCTCTCTCTCTCTCTCTCTCTCTCTCTCTCTCTCTCTCTCTCTCTCTCTCTCTCTCTCCCTTTCCCTCTGAAATCAATAAAAATATATTACAAAAAAACAGGGTGGTCTGAAGTGACATCTGGACAGAAACCAGGGGAAGTGAGAGGGTGAGGGAGTGACAAGGCTGTCTGTGAAGTCCAGGGAGGACCGTTCCAGGCAGGAAGAACAGAAAGAGCAAAGGCCCTGAAGTGGAAGCAGGCAAAGAGTACTCCAGCTCTCACTGGTTTAGCTCAGTGGATAGAGCGTCAGCTTGTGGACTGAAGGGTCCTGGGTTCAATTCCAGCTCAGGCACATATCCCAGTTCTGGTCAGAGTACATACGGGAAGCAACCAATCAATGTGTGTGTCTCTCTCATTGATATTTTCCTCTGACTCTCCCTCTCCCTTCTACTCTCGTTAAAAATAAGTGGAAAGCCCTGGCCAGTTTGGCTCAGTGGATAGAGAGAGCATCAGTCTGTGGACTGAAGGGTCACAGGTTCAGCTCCAGTCAAGGGCACGTGCCTCGGTTGCTGGCTTGATCTCCAGTAGGGGGCAGCCCATTGATGACTTTCTCTCATTATTGATGTTTCTCTCTCTTTCCCTTCCTCTCTGAAATCAATATATCTATAATAAAAAAAAGTGTAATATGCTAATTAGACCAGACATCCTTCTGGACGACCTTCCAGATGAAGCGAGGGAAGCCCAGGTCCCGGGTGCCAGAGGGAAGCTGGTGCTGGCACCGGGGGAAGGAAGGTCTACTTTTGCACGTAATTCGTGCACCGGGCCTCTAGTAAAAAAAAAAAAAAAAGTGGAAAAATATCCTCAGGTGAAGATTTAAAAAAAAAGTATTCCAAGAGCTGACAGACTTAGAAGAGGGAACAGAAAGGAGGAAGTAAGTGGTGGGAGATGATGGCAGAGAGGAGGAGGAGGAAGCAAACTGTAAGGGCTTCAGAGGCCAGCCTGAGGACGTAAGCTTTTGTGTCAAATGTGTTCAGAGGTCAATGATTTGGAGGCAGGCAGATTACATGATATAAATGTTTTCTTGCTGCCTCATCCGTGTGGCTTGAACCAAGAGTCACCGATTCAATTCACAAGCCCAGGTTGCAGGCTGGATCCCATGTAGGGAGGCATGCAGAAGGCAGTCAATCAATGATTTTCATCATTGATGTTTTTATCTCTCTCTTCCTCTCCCTTCCTCTCTGAAATCAATAAAAATAAAATATATATTTAAAAATATGTTTTCTTGCTTATATTTATTTGTTTGTTTTTGTTAATCCTCACCTGAGGATGTTTTTCCATTGATTTTTAGAGAGTGAAAGGGAGAAGAAGAGATAAAGAGAAACATTGATGTGAGAGAGACATGTTGATTGGTTGCCTTCCACATTCGCCCCAGCAGGACTGAGGATGGAGCCTGAAACCAAGGTACATGCCCTTGACTGGAATCAAACCCGGACCTTTCAGTCCCAGGGCGAATGCTCTGTCCACTGAGACAAATTGGCTGGGGCTCTTGCTTACTTCTTTTTTTTTTTTTTTAATCTTTTATTGATTTTTCACAGAGAGGAAGAGAGAGGGATAGAGAGCTAGAAACATCGATGAGAGAGAAACATCGATCAGCTTCCTCCTGCACACCCCCCACTGGGGATGTGCCCACAACCACCGTACATGTCCTTGACCAGAATCGAACCTGGGACCTTTCAGTCCACAGGCTGACATTCTATCCACTGAGCCAAACCGGTTTTGGCTGGAGAAACACATTTGAAGTCATCAGGAAGCTTCCTGCCCTCTTAGTCTGTTGCCTTCTCCATAAACTGGGAAAAACAGAAATGCCTACTTTGTAAAGTGCATGTGAAGTATGGTAGCAACCATACTTGGGTTAAAAACTGCTGTTTGAATTTTAACCCTGCTATTCTGGCTTCTGCACTCGCTTACTTGCTTAAACAATAGGGTAGTTGCCTCAGCTTCCAGACTGAGACCTGGAGGCTAAGGCAGTTTTCCTGTGCCTGTGGACCGGGACCACAGGAGATGGATTCCCACTGACTCAGTAGCTCCAGGAGTTGAAACTGTAGATAATGTTTAGAGATTAACCACTCAGCTCTGCTTCTGTACTATCTGCTATCGCAAGATAGGGCCACATTCCAACGTCCAGCAGGATGTGCCTGGGAAACGACCCTGTGGGCTGTTCCCAGCCTTTAGAATTTGGAACAAATGAAATTTTTGTGGTTTAGACTTTTAAAAGGACTGCCTACACCTGGAACAATGCAGTCGTGTGGACTCCACCTGCATGTGGTGCTCTGGCGGCCGTCCTGGCCAGTTCAATAAATCCTTGCCTGCTTTTTTTAATCAATCATCAGCCTCTGGTGGTCTTATTTTGAACCCAGGACTCGACCCCACAATACATGTATGAATAAAAATTAATGAATAGATCTGGATTTAAAACGTGAAGCTAGCTGAAACCGGTTTGGCTCAGTGGTAGAGTGTCGGTCTGCGGACTGAAAGATCCCAGGTTCGATTCTGATCAAGGGCATGTACCTGGGTGGCGGGCACATCCCCAGTAGGGGGTGTGCAAGAGGCAGCTGGTCGATGTTTCTCTCTCATCGAAGTTTCTAGCTCTCTATCTCTCTCCCTTCCTCTATGTAAAAAATCAATAAAATATATTTTAAAAATAAAATAAAAAATAAAACGTGAAGCTAGAGGTGAGTGCTCACAAATTATCTTGACAGAGTGCTTGGGCCAGAGCTCTGAAGAGGGGCTTGTCTCACTGTTACCCCACTCGTTTCTGTGGGCAAGCGCCAGGCACTCTTCTTCACCAACAAGAATAACTATGCAGTCGATAATGTTCCCTTCTCAATCCTTGTTGCTTCTGAGGTTGCTGACCTTAGTAACATCATTGATAAGTTGCTGGAGGCTAAAAATGAGGCCCACAAACATGTGGAGTTTGATTCCCTTGTCAAGGGCCAGTTTCTACAAACGCCCTTGCTCAAGCATATGGAACTGGAAAACTTCTCACCGGAAGAGGTTGTGGTAGTAGAATACGTGGAGAAGGACACTGCCCCTCAGACAGGGCAATGCTTATTCCATGATGACTTGATCAGCTCAATCCAAGGGGTAGAGGAATGGATCTTGACTGGTTCTTATGATAAGGCTTCTCGGATCTGGTCCTTGGAAGGAAAGTTGATAATGACGATAGTGGGACATACAGACGTCATAAAAGATATGAATAAAGACAGCTTGTCTTGCCTACTGCTGAGTGCCTTGATGGACTGACTATCCTCTTTCGGGAGTGGAATGAGGAGCAAAACAAGGTGAAAGCCCTGCACAGCTGCAGAGGCCACGCTGGGAGTGTGGACTCCATTGCTGTCGACGGCACAGGAACTACATTTTCTCATGGCTCCTGGGATAAGATGCTAAAGATCTGGTCTACGGTCCCAAAGATGAAGAAGATGAGATGGAGGAATCCATGGGGAATGAACCAAAAGAGAAACAGAAAACAGAGCAATTGGGACTAACAAGGACGCCCTGGTGACCCTGTCTGGTCATAAAGAAGCAACTTCCCGGTTCTGTGGTCAGGTGCTGAGATCTGCAGTGCATCCTGGGACCACACAATCAGAGTATGGGAATTGACTCTGGCAGTCTTAAGTCAACCTTGACAGGAAATAAAGTATTGAATTGTATCTCCTACTCTCCACTCTGTAAACGTTTAGCATCTGGACGTACAGATAGGCATATCAGGCTGTGGGATCTCTGGACTAACGATGTTTCTTTGGCATCGCTGTCCCTAACCTCACATACCAGCTGGGTCACGGTGGTAAAGTGGTCTCCTACCCATGAGCAGCAGCTGATTTCAGGTTCTTCTTCTTCTTCTTTTTCTCCTTCTTCTTCTTCTTTTAAAATATATTTTATTGATTTTTTTACAGAGAGGAAGAGAGAGGGATAGAGAGTTAGAAACATCGATGAGAGAGAAACTGTTGTGGGGTCGAAGCCTGGGTTCAAAATAAGACCACTGGAGGCTGATGATTGATTAAAAAAAAACAGGCAAGGACTTACTGAACTGGCCAGGACGGCCGCCAGAGCACCACATGCAGGTGGCCACACTCATGACCGCACTGTTCCAGGTTTTCAAAGGTCCAAACCACAGAAATTTTCCTTTGTTCTAAATTCTAAATTCTAAAGGCTGGGAACAGCCCACACGGTCATTCCCAGCCACATCCTGCTGCACGTTGGAATGTGGCCCTATCTTGTGATAGCAGATAGCACAGAAGCAGAGCTGAGTGGTTAATCTCTAAACTTTATCTACATTTTCTACTCCTGAAGCTACTGAGTCAGTGGGAATCCATCTCCTGTGGTCCCGGTCCACAGGCACAGGAAAACTGCCTTAGCCTCCAGGTCTCAGTCTGGAAGCTGAGGCAACTACCCTATGGTTTAAGCAAGTAAGCGAGTGCAGAAGCCAGAATAGCAGGGTTAAAATTCAAACAGCAGTTTTTACCTGAGATGCATATTCTTAATGTCTTATTTCATTAACATCGATCAGCTGCCTCCTGCACACCCCCCACTGGGGATGTGCCCACAACCAAGGTACATGCCCTTGACCGGAATGGAACCTGGGACCTTTCAGTCTGTAGGCAGACGCTCTATCCACTGAGCCAAACCAATTTCGGTGTGAGAATTGTTTTTAGTAAATACCCCTGCAGGGTAGCATTTAACTGTCCAAGTGCACAGGCACCAGGGGGTTATCCTCACAGGCAATGACCACACGCCTAGTGCTGGCCCAGGCCTGATAATTGCATGTGGGGGGCTGGTAACGTTCCATAATCACCCTGTCTGAGGAGTAAGGGGCCTTGAAATGTGTATGTTTGCAGTCTGTGACTTTTACTACACCCTCATGGCAGTTCATCGTGCCCCTCTTGCACCGGATATGGGGGTTCTTGCAGATGTTGTTAATGGTCCTGATGTTTTCATGGATGAAGGTGTTGAAATCCTTGCAATGACCTGAAGTCATCCCCCGTTTTTCCATCATCGTGTTGCAGTACAAGTCGGTGTCACCTGACTCTTCAGAGTCCACATGTTGCCGCTGGAATTTTTCATATGGGGTCTCCCCATAGAAGAGCTTCACCAGCCTCAGCCCCAGCAGGGTCAGCAGCAAGAGCAGAAGCAGTGAAAGGGTCTTCTGGAGAGCCATCACTACCTGGAGGTGCCTGCTTCTTCCTCCTCTGTAAGAAAACGGGAGCTAGTAGAAAACAGGAAGATGCTGTTTTGACTCCTGCTTTGGATCTACGCCGGGTCCTTGTCGAGTTTATTATATTTTTTAAAAAATTAATGAATAGATTAAGCCCAGAATAGGTCCTTAATTCTTTTTTAAAAAATTAATATATATATATATTTTTTTGCCAAAACCGGTTTGGCTCAGTGGATAAAGCGTCGGCCTGCAGACTCAAGAGTCCCAGGTTCGATTCCGGTCAAGGGCATGTACCTTTGTTTAGGGCACATCCCAGTGGCAACTGGTCAATGTTTCTCTCTCATCGATGTTTCTAACTCTATCCCTCTCCCTTCCTCTCTGTAAAAAATCAATAAATATATATTTTTAAAAAATATTATATTTTTTATTAATTTCAGAGAGGGAGAGGTAGAAATCGAACCCAGGACCCTTCAATCCGCAGGCCTACACTCTAACCAGAGCCAAAGCAGCTAGGAAAAGATGCTTAATTCTTTACAGTTACTATTTGTTTGTATATTGACGCTTATTCATTCAAAGGACAAAATATGCAAAGGACACAGTGATTGTGACTGTGGTCTCTGGAGTGGGCTCCCAGATTCCAGTCCTTACTTCAATTGCTGGCTGTGTGATACAGCCCTGTTTCCTCATCTATAAAAGGGCATAATTATGATATCTATACATAGGGTTATGAAAAGTCGCCAAGACAATTGAGTATAATTACTTAGTAAGCACTCAGAGAAATTATTTATCTACTAGAGGCCCGCCCGGTACAGGAAATTTGTTACATGGGTGCGGTCCCTCCGCCTGGCTGGTGATCAAAGCACGAGCATCTGGCGAGGAAGGGCAGGTCCCAGCTGACCCCTGGGCCCTGGGCAGCACCTGGGCCCCCACGTGTCCCTCTGCAGGAGTCATTGGGCCCCGCCCAGCTCCCTCGGTATGCCTAGGAGCCAGGCATCTGCCATACACATCAGGGGTGCCAGCACTGGATTGCCAAAAACCACCATGTTCCATGCCGCCCCCTGGTGGTCAGCACACGTCATAGCAAGCAGTCCAACTTGGTGGAGGGGACAATTTGCAAACAGGTATTAGGCTTTTATTATTATATATGCGATTAGCGGAAGAGACAAGCCTTGAGCAAATAATGCTTTCATCATATCAGCAATAAATTGCCTCTTCTTTTTTTATTTTTTAAAATAAATCTTTACTGTTCATATTATTACAAATGATCATTTTTTTCTCCTCCATTGCTCCCCTCCACCAGGTTCCCATCCCACCCTCTGCCCTTTCCACACACCCCATTGTCCTCATCCATAGGTGCACAGTTTATGTTCAGTATCTTCCAGAAGCCTCTTCTTTTTCTTAAAAAATATTTTTATTGATTTCAGACAGGAAAGGAAAGGGAGAGAGATTGCGAGAGAACATTGATCCGCTGACTCCTGCACGCCCTTTACTAAAAACCGAGCCCCAAAAGCGGGCATGCGCCCTCCACTGGAATGGAACCAGGACCTTCAGTCTAAGCTCTATCCGCTGAGCCGAACCGGTTTCGGCTCCATCACTCTTCTTAAGACGCCCCCTCCGAGACCCCTCTCCCAGACCTCACAGCGCCCCTGCCCGCAGCCCGCCCGGCCGCGGCTCCTCCTCCAGCCCACGGCGGTGCCAGCGGAACCCTAGCTTTGAAAGTCTCCGGACTGAACTCGAGGGCACAGTAGCCCGGCGCCCGGTGCAGGGCGTGCAGTGAGTGTGGAAAGACGGCGAACAAGCCTCCTTGGCCTCTGAATACACCGTTTACCGGGTTCCTCCATCCCCTGCGGAAAGGTCTCCGCGCCTCACGCTCCTGGGATGGGGAGCCGGCGCCCCGCCCCGGAAGGCCGTCGGACTACAACTCCCGGCGGCCGGCGCGGCGCGCTGCTCTAATCGTCAGACGCAGCCGCGAGAGGCGGGGCCTATATATACTCCCGCCCGGAGCCCACCCGTCCTTTCTCCCGGCCGCCGCGATGCGGGTCACTCGTGCTAAGGGCAGCTCGCCTGCTGCCACCCACGCCTTCCTCCCCTTTCCCACCCTTCGCTCCTCAGTCCGGTCGCCAGCGGCCCCGCACTCACTGCGCTGCCTCCGAGGCTGCAGGATGGCAGGTGCGGACTGGAGGAGCCGGCCTCCCCGCCTGCTGGGCCGAGGGCCTTCGGGACGCGTAGGCCGCATGCGCGGGGAGCGGGGCCGAGGCCCGAGCGGAGCCGCCCTTCGCCCGCCGGAGGCCGCGCGGCTCTGCGCTCCGGCGTGACAGGTGAGGACGCGGGCAGGCAGCCGGGCGCGCGGGGTCTTCAGTGTTTTAATTTGGGGGAGTCGCGTGGTGCCAGCCAGACTTTGAATTGAACCTGAATCTGCTGCGTGACTTGGATCAAGGGACTTCAGATTGCATGGCTGCACCGCACACGTTACGGAGGCCACGTGTTCTGGGGGGTGGGCTATAGACTTAGTCATTCACGTTCTGAGTGGTAAGGAGGACTACAAGGGCGGCTGTTTCCGGCCTCTGGACGCTGGGTTCCGGTGGGCAGGAATGATGCTCAGGGCCGGGCCTGGTGGCCTTGGGGCTGGGCCGCGGCTGGGGTTGACCTGTGCGACGCAGTGGCCCTTATCGAAGCTGCAGCTGCTTCCGCGTAGCTGCTGCGGTCAAAAAGGAGCCCAGAGTGACAGTTTTCCTTGACGGTCGCCGTTCCGTTTGCTGTAACTGATCTGCAACATTTCAGGAAAAGACAATTCTCATTGTTGTATCTGCTGTTTCTCACATAAACGGGTCCTTATTCAAGTTGGCATGTCTCCAGAGGCCAGCAGAAATGTTGGTAGTGTGCAGCGATTTCCAACCGGTGTGTCACGAATTTTTAAGACGATGCAATACCGGGGCACTGATCTCTCTACCCTTAGATGGTTTAGTCTGTGCCATGAGATGGAAAGGTTGAATGTTGCTGTGATAGGGACTTGCCTATAGAATGAACACAATAAGGCTTTTGGGAAGTAGCTTGTTGAGGCCCACCAAACTAGTATGGGGGGCTTAGACATCAATATGGGGAAACCCAGTGGCAAGCAGCACAGGTCTTGGCCATGCTTTAGGTCATTGCCCTCGGGAGTTAAAGGCGTTAATACCAGGATCAAAGGACAGTAAAACGTATATGATTCTCCAGACCAAGAAAGATCATTCATGACAGTTTCTGTTCTTGTCTTCGCGGTGCCAGATGAAGCTTGCGGGATGCTTCAAGTTGATTCTGCCGGGTGAGCACTCTGGAGTCATGACAGTGATGGACGCAACCACTGCAGGACCTGGTAGGTTTCTTGTGAGGCTTCATTTGAGAGCTGCCTGGTGGGTCGGGGCAGCATGTTCCCAAGGGCTGTGGCTGGCTGTAGCCATAGGCTCTCCAACTGCATGCGAGAGCAACCTGGAGAGACTTTGACAGTGCAGGTGAGCATCGTGCCTGCAGCTGCCACTCGCCTTTCCTATATCTCCGCACCTGGGCGTGGGTCCGTGCAGGTGGATGTACTGAATCAACTTTCTGATTTAGAGCTTTCACACCTTTTTCTTGCAGATTGCCTCCCTGTTTCTTGGAGCGTCTGATAATGACATCACTGAGAATACCAGCCTGTTGCTGCTCCTGTGCTTTAGAATAAGGTAAAGTTAGATGTTGTAAACAACCTGACCCTCCGGTTCCCTTTCCCATCGGATCTGAACACCGATCTTGGTGGTCGTAGAGGAGGAAGAGTAACAGTGAGGCTGGCCTCATGGTGCTTGTAACCTGTGGGCCAGTTTCAGACAAGGTTGAATTCGCTTTGAACTTGTTTCGTCCTTTCCTGTGAAATGAGATAAAGGGAGGGAGGATGGATGTGAATCTGGGCAGTTGGTGTACTGTCTTAAAAGTGTCATCTTTGTTTTTTGATCTGTTACCAGGAAACTGTCTTTATCTGTAATTAAGGATCTACAGTAGGGGTGTCGAACTCAATCAGAGAAGGGGCCAAAATCTAAAATCCAGCCTAAATCGCGGGCCGAATGGTTTACTGAACAGTCATAAACTGTCATTGGGATGGAAACGCAGCGGAGTGCAGTGATGACAGCGCGGTGCGGGCCACATTGCAAGGCCTGGCGGGACAGATTTGGCTCGCGGGCCTTGTGTTTGACACATGTGATCTACAGGGTTGGGTAAGTTGAATGGCCACCAGACATCTCTTACATGTGGCCTGCCTTCTGTGCTGTATTTATTAGCTATTCATGGCCAGGGAACAGAAATAAATGTTTACAGAAGAATGGTTTGGTCCGTTTGGGTTGCTGTGAATATCTCATTTGGGATAACCTTAAATCACAATCTTATCCCCCTCACCAGGGATAGTGTACTATAAATTGGTTATAAACAAGTCATGCCATCTAGTTGGGTTTTACTTTTAGGGTGACTGGTCTGTGATGAAACCTAATCTGAGTGGACATCTCTGGATGATAAATGCGGATATGGGACTGAGACCAGCTCTTAGGAAACAGCCTGGGTGGCATTTATTGATTGATTGGGGTGGTACTAACACTGGCTCATACTTCCTTACAGGAGAGCTCTATGGTAAGAAGGAAGCTAAAGACAACTGTGTGAAGGTGATGGGACTGTTCTACTTACATCTCAGCTCCTCCATGCTCCAAGGACTGCTGGTTTTTGAAATAGGCCTTTTGTCCCCCCTTATTGTGGGGCAGGTTCCTTATTCATCCTGCCCTGCAGCATGGGTTGTCTTGTGCTGCATTCCCTTAATAAATTCGTGATGTAATGAAGTTGTCCGCTTTTTTCTTTGGGCTCAGCCCCAGGGGACTTTCCAACAGGTTATTTTAGATGGAAACGACTGATGAGTTTTTGAATGCTGGTATACAAGTAACCAACAAGAACTTGGAAGTATGTCATTTTCTTTGTCACTCAAAATTCTGATGTTTTTTTTCCTATCTAAATAAAAACCCAAGTTAATTCATAGTTTTTTTCTTAATATAAAAAAGTCTGACATCAGAAAGGCCAATATGATCTGTTCCATAATTGCAATTAGATATACTTCCACTTTGCTAAGCCTAGATTGGATCTTTGAAGGCTTTTTGTGGGATAGGCACTTGAACTTGAAAATTTATCTCCCCCAATTTGCCATCCCCCAAATTACTCACAAAACTAAAATCTGAAGATTTCTAGCATAGACCCAGACTTCTCAGGTACCACATGACATGAAGTTGGAAAGGGGGCTTTCCTGATTCATTTGGATGTAGGTCTGATGCATTTTAGCTAACTCCCATTACTTTTATACCCTGGACTAGGCAGATGCAGCCCCCTCCCCCCCAAATTCGACTAAGTGGCCACATTTGAAACCAATGTTGGTGGTGCTTAAATGGCAGGCAGGAATGCTCATTTAATATATAGCAGGTAATCCATATATTCTGATCCCAGAGAACTTAAGGATTTAGATGTCATCTGAGAAAGGTCTCTGGCTACACTGATTCATATGGTTTGCAATTCTACTTTGGTTAGTAATTCCTGTCTGGCGTGGTTGAGTGTCATCCCATGTCACAGGTTCAGTTCCCAGTCAGGGCACATGCCTAGGTTAGGGGTTCAGACCAGAACAGGAGGTAACCAAAGTTTCTTCCTCTTCCCGCTGTTCTAAATTTTTAAAACCATAAAAAGTGATTCCAAATTGTTATCTCCAGGAGTGTAGATAACTACTAGATAAGTGAAAATTGTTTGAAGATGGATGGGAACCTTGTTCAACCCTCTTCAGTTGGTCCCTTTGTTTTCCAGCCCAATTGGCTATATCAAATAAAGGCGGTAGTGTTGCAGTAATACTCATAATCTTAGGAAATTTAATTATTAAAATCGTACAAAACATTTCCCAAAAGGTGAAAGTTCTTGAATTGTTTTTAAAGAAGTCTTTCTCCCTCAGTCCTCCATTCTGGGTTGTCCTCTGTCGTAGCTACATCACAGCAGGGATCTCCGAAGACACCGTGTCCAGGGGCTGCCAGTGGCAGTCCATCAGCGCGTCGTACAGCTCCTCGCTCTGCTCCATGAACTCCTTGTTGGCCTCGGTCACATCCAGCTGTGGCGTGGGGTCTGGAACAGAACCGAGCATGAACTTAGGGAGCACGAAGGGAAGAAAGTACTCTGGAGCCACAAGGCCATGAGACCAAGACCTCTGTTCCCTAGGGCAAGTTCCCCGTCTGCCAGAGTTCCCTCCCAACTCAGGGGCTGATCACTGCCTTGCAGGGTTCCTGGGAGACTGAAGACAGGATAATGTAAGGTGTAGTTACTACTCAAATAATAGTCCACATTTATTAGAAGCAACACCGGTATCACGTGCCCTGGACTTTCTGGTGCGGTTATTTCAATTTTGAGCTTGGAAACTGATCCGAATTTACAAGTCCAAAGCACTAGTCTTAAAAGAATATTATATGCCATTGAAAATGAACCTGGCCCTGGCCCATGTGGCTCAGCTGAGTATTGTCTTACGCACTGAAAGGCTGCCAGTTAGATTTCCAGTTGGAGTACCTCCCCAGGTTGTGTGTTCGATCCCTGGTTAGGGTGCGTACGGAAGGCAACCCATTGAAGTTTCTCACATCAATGTTTCTAAAATCAGTAAAAAAACACTAAAAGAAAAAAAAGGACCTTGGCTGCATACAACTTGAGCCTAAACTTGCATGAGTATTGAAAGAAGACAGTAGTACATTCAGTCTGACTGTATTATACAAAGCCGAAAATGCAAAACAAAACCATATTATTTAGTGATACCTAGGTAATAAAACTAAAAAAAAAAAAAAAGGGGGGGGGGAATGGTTACTACAAGAAGTTGTGGGTTGTGATTGGGGGAAGAATGGCTTCTGGAGGCTGGTAATATTCTACTTCACTGGAATTCGGGTCTCATGGGCAATTGCTTTATGATCACATGCTAAACTATACGTTTGCTTTATGTACTTTTCTTTCTTTTTTTTTTTTTACTTCAGATATTTATTTTACCAACAAGCACGAGTTAATAAAAAACTGCTGGCTGGAAAGAAAGACTATTTTAATGCTATTGATAAAATACAATAACAAGATGATGAAAGATTTCACTTAGTGTATGGTAAGAGGGAGTGGTGAGCACACATTCAATTTGAGAGTACGGTAATAGAAAATTTCTTTACGGTAATAGAAAAGTTCATTGAAGGAATATAACATACTTTCACGTACCTATTTTGTATAAGTTCTTTCTAGCATTGTTTGCTTTTCCTCAGATACATATTATGCTTTTAACATTTATTAGCATTCATTCATTCAGTCAGCATTCACTTAGGTATGTATGAAGCATCAAACATGCACTAGAGTCTATACACAGCAAGAAGAAGTAAATATAATGATTGCGTGAAAACTATTCTGAGTGTGGTAAAACAAATTTTGATTATCTCTTTTAGAGGTGGTTGTAATCTGTCAGAAGAGTCTAAACTCTATAGAATGATTATGCTTTTTTGCTTCATAAAAAATAAGCTTTAAATAAAAAGACAGATGTATATTCTATTTTTGCCACAATATTTCTGAGAGTTCTTAGATAAATTGCTTTAAGTACTTTTCTTTTTTTTTTTTAACTATGTTTTTATTGGTTTTAGAGAGGAAGGGAGAGGGAGAGAGAGAAACATTGATTGGCTGCTTCCGTACAAGGCACCCCGACGGAACCAAACCCAAAACCTGGGCATGTGCCCTGACCAAGAATCGAACCAGCAACCTTTTGGCGCACAGGACGATGCTCAGCCAAACGAGCCACAGCGGCCAGGGCTGCTTTATGCACTCTTCCCTGTATGTGTTATCTTTCACAATAAAGTTCAAAATAATATTTACTATGATAACATTTTATATTTTTAGTCTGCGTTGGTTTAAAATGCACACACACATTAATTAAAACACATTTAAAAACTAACTGGAAAATTAAAAGAATACCTAATAAACAGAAAGACATCTCATGTACTTGGATTGAAAGATGATTTTATAAAGATGGAAAAATTCTCCAAATTGATCTATAGCTGCAGATGTTTTTTGTTTGTTTTGCAGAAAATGACAAACTGATCATAAAATTTCTATGGAAATGCAAGGAATCCAGACTAGCCAAAACAATCTTTAAAAAGAACAAAGTTCAAGGACTTATGCTTCCCCATTTCAAAACTTACTGCAAAGCTACATTAAGAAAGACCAGCAGTAGTTTAAGGATAAATATATGGATCAATTGACCAGGGTTAAGGGCCCCAAACTAAACCTATACATTTATAGTAAACTGCTTTTCAACAAGAGTACCAAAAACAATTCAAAGGGTAAAGAACAGTTTTTCAACAAATGGTGCTGGGTCACCTATAATCATACAGGCTGGGGCAAAAGTAGGTTTACAGTTGTGAGTATGCAAAAGTTTATTCTTATTATTTTTTGTTACTATTTTTTGAAAGAATACTATTTTTTGATATTTAGAGAGAGGAAAGGAGAGAAACATTGATTGGCTGTCTCCTGCAAGCCCCACACTGGGGGCGTCAAGCCTACAACGTGGGCATGTGCCCTTACCTGGAATCAAACCTGCAACCCACAGGACAACCCCCCAACCTACTGAGCCACACTGGCCAGGGCTTGTATTCTTATTTATTAACTGCTGTATTGCTTCCCATATGAACGACTGTGAGCCTAAATTTGCCCCACCCTCTATAAGGTGACTTAACTAGATTTAGTGCAGTGATAATTTTGCAATGTATCAAAATTGAATCACACATCTAAAACATACATTTTGTTTAACAAATCATGTATTGGATATTTATCTGTACTGACGATTATCATTGGGGATAAAATCTTTCAAGTAAAATTACTGATTTAAAACATATAAACATAGTAAGAACTTTTATAGAAACATGGTATATTCTAATTTGTATTTATTAACAGTGTGATAGTTGAATTTTACGTGTAAACCTGGCTAGGCTATGATGTCCAATTGTTTGGTCTAATGTTGCTATGATGTTATTTTGTAGATGTGATTAACATCTGCAATCAGTGACTTTTTTTTTAAAGTTTTGCTTCTGACCTTATTTGTTATTGATTGATTAAAATATTTTTAATTGATTTTTAGAGGGAGGAAGGAAGGATATAGAGAGAGAAACATCGATGGGAGAAGGAAGCATTGATCAGCTGCCTCCTCCATGCCTCCCACCGGGAATCAAACCAGCAACCTTTTGGTGCATAGGACGATGTCCCACCACCTGAGCCACACTGGCCAGGGCCACTCATTGATTCTTGTATGTGCCCTGACCAGGGATTAAACCTGCATATCCAGACGATGATCTAACCAACTTAGTTACCTGGCCTAGGCTGACACACACACTTCTTACTGCAGTTATTATACTTCATTAGAATAAACGTTCCTCTAGGCAGGACTCATCACGCATTCCTTCAGCATCTAGCTGAAGGCACAGTGCCAGCCACAAAGCAATCACTTCATTATGGCTGACAGGGGGAATGAGTGATGGGCTCCTTTCTTACCTTCCAAAGCATCATCTCCAACTTCTTCATATGTCTGTCAAGAGACAGAGAGGCTGGGTGAGGATCCTGGCCATAACAAGGATGGCTTATTTTTAATAAGAGCAACTAGGTGGCTCCATCTCCCGCACCCCAACCCCAGCTTTTTTTTCCCCTGAAGCCCAAGCCCCCGTCCTTATCCATCCCATCCTGGAGAATGACCCATGTCTCTAAAGGGTGAGAGCAGACTTGCCAAATCATGGTTACCTGCATGGTGCTCTGGGTATAGCCGTACTGGGGGTAACTGTAGCTGTAGCTGCCTGTATTCTGGTCATAGCCCCACTGAGCATAGTAGTTCTGGTACTGCTGGTAATACTGGTTGTAGCTGTAACTGTACATCTGACTGTATTCCACGGGCTTCACACGACTACTGTGAAGAAAGAACCAAAAACAAACAAATGTGAGCAAACATTCCTGTGACACTAACTGAACAAGGACTTTTCTAAGCACTTTACACAGATTAACTTCATTTAACCCCCACAACAATCTCTTGCGAAAGTATACATTATTCCTATTTTACACATGAGGAAACTGAGGTACACAGAGGTTGCAATAATTTGACCGAGGCCACACAGCTAAGAGATTCAAGCCAGACAGTCTGGCTCCACGGCCCATGCTCTGAACATAGGAGTTTCCAATGATTACGTTCCTCTCTGTTACCAAACTTTGTCAGTACTGGCTTTCTCCTCCTCTCAAGATCTTGTGCGGTCTGCTTTTTACCACCCATAACGGCTCGGGTAAACATGGCTAAAGAATCTAGATCGAGGATGACCCAAAAAGCTTTCAAACTTCAAAATATCTAATCACCTCTTCCCCACAAAAGATTAAGAGAAGTGCTCCAGTGGCCTATTGTCATCCCTGTAGTCACAGCTGCCATTTACGGAGTAGGCACTCGAGCTGTGCCCATTACTTTTCATGGATGGTCTCCTGTTTTAGGTCCTGCACAATCCTATGACAGAGCGATTATGTATTATTCCCCTTACACAGATGAGACTACCGAGTCTGAAAACCATGCCCACAACTGGAGCCGAACGGAACTCCAAGGCCCACGCTAACGCCACACCATTGCACACAGCAGCTGGCCTACATCCTGCATTTGCCAGTCAGGGCGGAGGCCCAGGGTCAGCAGAAAGCTCTCTTACTCTGATTGTACAGCTGCCCCAGCTGCTAACCAAAGACAATGTCAAGTCTGCAAAGGACCCATTGCTCTCAAAAACATAAAGAAAGCACACGGGAGTAGGTTTCTGAAAAAGGCCTGAGGTGTGGCCAGCAGTCCCAGCTGACAGGAATGAAAGAACGTAACTGAAGACATGATAATGTTCCTCCAGAGTCACTGTACCCCATGGGCCTGAGTCTACCATGGGTGCACACCAATACGGCAGGAGGCAAAGGCTGGCTTATGAGGAAAATTACATAGTCACAAAGTGTGGGAGGTGGGACGTGGGACCTCCTCATGGTTGGCGCATTCTTTCTCAGAGTGAAACTGAAGAAGAAACCAAGTCATAAGCAGGAGTTGAGCCACCATAGAAATCCCCATCACAGGAACCACAAAATGCTCAAGTCTGAATGAGCTCTTCCCAAGTTCCTGGCAAGTTCAACAACTGCCGCCTGCGTGGGGAGCAGGACTCAGCCGGAGCAGTTTGAGACCACTCCTGACGGGGTGTCTCGATGATGTCAAACAGCATGGACTCCCTCTCCCCGCCCAGGGCCAGGCGAAAACTCCGTAGCTCCCTCCCATGGGTGCTGCCAGGGTCCACACCCTCCTGCAGGTTCCAGTTCCTGAAGTGCAGTCTCTCCACACTCACTCAGTCTTACAGGTGAGCTCTCAAAGGGAACTCTCATCTCCCTCAGTTCCTACTGCTTGAGGACCTCTCCCTAGAAACAGGCACTAAATACTGACAGCAACATTCAGTGAAGAACAGGATATAACAATACACCCTCTGCAGAAGGGACTTCGTCAGAATATACAATCAAAAGAATTACCTGCAGTTAAAAATATGATGATTAGGCAACTACTAGTATATGGAAAAGTGAATGTGTATACTGAGTAAACTAGGGGAAAAGAGCACTGTTACTGTGAAATGAACAAAGAAATAAATCTACAGTATGTAAACTGACTCACATGTAGTGTGTATATGTATATGTGTATGTCATGGATAGCTATGGAGGAGCCTGGAAACAAACTCAGAAATTATAATTAGTCATTTTAGGGTAATAAGGAAATTTCTTTCTTTTAAATAGCTTCTTTAATGTTTTTATATATACAATAGAGTTTAGAAAAAATAACACTTTGGGGGAGAAATCACTCAAGTTGATCTTCTCTGTATTAAAAATAGAACAAGCCATAAGGAACCTCCAAATCTTTTGCTGCTTTAAAAAAACAAATCATCATGCCCTAACCAGTTTGACTCAGTGGATAGAGCGTTGGCCTGCGGACTCAGGGGTCCCAGGTTCAATTCCGGTCAAGGGCACGTACCTTGGTTGCAGGCACATACCCAGTGGGAAGTGTGTAGGAGGCAGCTGGTTGATGTTTCTCTCCAATCGATGTTTCTAACTCTCTGTCCCTGTCCCTTCCTCTCTATAAAAAGTCAATAAAATATGTTAAAAAACACACAGACAAAAAAAAATAATAATAATAACATGATCATTTGGAAGTTCCACCCTAAAGAAGCAGCCAATCTCGTACTTTTGAAAGTTTCTCAGTCTTGGCATGACTGACTTTTGGCAGAGGGAGGAGAGCAGGTAAATGCTTGTTGTGGGGGTTGTCCTGCGCATCACTGGATGTTCAGAGCATCTATTCATTAGATGCCAGCAGTACCCTCTCTGAGTTGTAACAATTCAAGTTGCCTCCAGGTGTTGCCAATGGCCGCTGGGGGACAAAAATTGCCCCTTAATAGACAATTCCTGCTTTGGCCAAAGGATGGAAGATTCTATGCGGAAAAAGTTGTCTTACATCTGAGTGAGACACCTGCTTGGAGTTGTCTTTCTGCCTGGCATGGCAGGTACAACAGTGACGTATACCCTGGGCTATATTGTGCTCGGACCACTAATCCTCAGCCATTTCCACAGCATGGGCCAGCCACAGGTTTGTAGGTTTCATTGATATAAATAAGCTTAAAATTGGGTGTAAATTTTTCCTTCTGTTAAACTCTTTTTTTCTTTTTTCCCCCCCTTCTGTTCAATTCTTAATCTCTGGATCAATGTCTAACAGTGGCACTACTGGGCAAAGAGCAGGGGCGTTATGTAAGTGGTACCAAACTACTTCTCCAGCACTGCTATCAGCGATGTCTGATGTATCTGTCTTCCCAGTCATAGCTCTCCCCCAACCATAAGCTCCAGAGGATTATGCTCATTCATCTCCAACACCCAGCACACAGCCTGGTGAGCATCAGGCAATCCTTATTCGTGAGCAGAATGAATCTCTCTGAAGCCTCCCATCCGGCTGTGCTGACCAACAACAGGTGAGGCGCACCCAGGTGGGGCCGCCCAGAGGCCTCTCCCTTCCCCGTTGGTGTGGGACTCACGCTTTCGGGATCGCCACGCTCAGCCGCACTGGTTTAGACCCCAGTCCTACTGCTCCCTGGCACTCCGTCAGGGCTCGCTTCTGTTCCAGCTCATCTGTGAATTTCACAAAACCATAGCCCCTGCAGGAAGAACAACACACACGATATACAGGTCACAAGTGGGATGAAGGTACAGTCCAACGATGGAAAAGGGGCTGAAAGGGGTGGATAGAATCCATCAAACTATACGGCACCCATTGGGGAGGCGTGTCGCAGAGCAATGTGAGACTCAAGCACGGAGGATCCCGAGATCTAGAGGAATGCCCACTTTCAGTTCACTGTTCTCTCTCTACTTTCACTGATGAGTCTCCTTCCCTCCCAATCTACTAGGAATATTACGGTAACAGCAGTAGTAATAGTTTCTGCAGCGAATATTTGCTGAGTTTGTCTGTATGCACCAGGTCTTGGTAGTCATAAGCAGACAAGGTTCTTGATCTCCTGAACTCATATTCTCCAAGGGGGAATAGATGAACGATAGCTAATATCTAATGAACGCTCTCTCCCAGACACTGTGCTGAGCATATTTCCAGGATTATCTCACTGACAGTCCAACAATTTGATGTAGTATCCACATTTACTGGAGAGGGAACCAAAATCCAGAAATGTTTACCAATCTGCCCAAAGTCATAGTAGAAACAGGATTCAAATCCAAGTCTCTCAGACTCCGAAGAATGAGTGTTTTTTGAGGTTTTTCCACTTTTAAAGTAAAAATAATAAAATACAAACACCTATACAGCATTTCCTACTGCTTTAGTCACATTACATCATTTAACCCTTACATTGCCCCTGTGCGCAGACACCATGCATCAGTCCTGTTGCAGAGAGAGGAAATGGGCCAGAGGTTTGGTAACCTGTCTCCTTATGCCTGGCCGGTACTGGAGCCAGAATCCCAACCCTGGCAGTTTGGCTCCAGAACCTGGGCGCTAACTACCACGCGCATGACCGTTCTGGAACACCTGAACCTACGAGAAGAATGCTGACACCAACAGCGAGCACCGGTAACACGGAAGCCTTACTTGGACACGCCCGTCTGGTCCAAAACCACCTTGCCGCCCCGGCAGGAGGGGTAGACTTTGACGAAGAATTCATACAGCATGCCGTCATCCACGTCCGGGGTCAGGTCCCCCACAAAGAGCGAGTACTCAGGGCTGAGAGGAGAGAACAAGATTCAGAGACAAAGACCTTTGTTCTTTTTTTTTTTAATACTTAAAAAAAAATATATATTTTATTGATTTTTCACAGAGAGGAAGAGAGAGGGCTAGAGAGTTAGAAACATCGATGAGAGAGAATCATCGATCAGCTGCCTCTTGCACACACCCTATTGGGGATGTGCCCGCAACCAAGGCACATGCCCTTGCCCGGAATAGAACTCGGGACCTTTCAGTCCGCAGGCCGACGCTCTATCCACTGAGCCAAACCGGTCCCAGCTTTTTTTTTTTTTTTTTTTTTTTAATAAAAAAGCCCATTATGACTGAATTTTTAATATTTTATTGATTTTTTACAGAGAGAAAGGGAGAGAGATAGAGAGCTAGAAACGTCAATGAGAGAGAAACATCAACCAGCTGCCTCTTGCACATCCCTCCTAGGGATGTGCCCGCAACCAACGTACATGCCCTTGACTGGAATCGAACCTGGGACCTTTTAGTCCGCAAACCGATGCTCTACCACTGAGCCAAACCGGCTTCAGCAAGACCTTTGTTCTGACAACTTCCTTCGGCCCATTCTAGGTAAACCTTTCTGAGCCTTTTCAGGGCATGACACCCCTGGTGCGTCCTTAACCAGGTCCCAGTTTGTCCCACGTGGCAGTCCCGGGCAGAAGGAGTATGGAGGTAGTCCCTGCTCCACCCAAGTCCTCCATCCACCCACTGCACAAAGCCTGTCTGGCCTCAAGGATTACAGGAGTGCAGGTGGAGGCTGAGGTCAGAGGTACTCAAAATATAAAACTAGATGCTCTGCAGTCATTGCATTTTAAAAAATCCTTACCTGAGGATATGTTTCCATTGCTTTTAGATAAGAATGGAAGGAAGGTGTGGGGAGAGAAAGAGCCATCAATGTGAGACACACCCATTGGTTGCCTCCTGCACACACCCCAAGCAGGTGCGTGCCCTTGACCAGTAAGCGAACCCGAGGTCCTTCAGTGTGAGAACCAAACCAGCCAGGGTGTCACTGCATACTTTTAATTTAAATGGTGAAACAGAGAGAATGAGAACTGGATATCATCTACTGAACACCTTAAAGCCTAGCTCAATGCAATCTCCCAATTTTTAGAATAAGGGTCATCAAACTTTTTCTGTGGAAGACCGCTCTTTTTCCTTCTAAATAGTATTTTTTCACTTTTAACTTAGCCAACATCTTGACATGTCATGATTCTGCTACAACATGACTTATTAATGGATAAATCACACTTCCATTAATGAACGGATTGTAATTTAAACCACTTCCCTATTACTAGATTTGGTTTTTCCCCAATTTTGCCCACCAAACATAATATTTCAATGAATACCTTTGAGGATAATCTTACCCACACGATGAATAAATTCTGAGAAGCAGAATTATGGAGGTCAGTGGGTACAAATCTTTCTAACCATTCTGATACATTGTTTTAAAGTTTTCACATAGCAACCTGAAATGCCGAACCAAATTATACTGCTATGTGCCCGGCTGGTGTGGCTCAGCGGTTGAGCGTTGTAGACCCAGGAACCAAGAGGTCGCCAGCTCGATTCCCAGTCAGAGCACGTGCCCAGGTTGTGGGCTCCTTCCCCAGTGGGGGCTGTGCAGGAGGCAGCCAATCGACTTCCTCTCTCAACGATGTTTCAGTCTTTCTATCCCTCTCCCTCTCTCTAAAAAACAATTAAAAATATTAAAAATAATAATAATATTTCTATGCCAAAACCGGTTTGGCTCAGTGGTAGAGGGTCCCAGATTTGATTCCGGTCAAGGGCATGTGCCTTGGTTGCAGGCGCATCCCCGGTAGGGGGTGTGCAAGAGGCAGCTGGTCGATGTTTCTCTCTCGATGTTTCTGGCTCTCTATCCCTCTCCCTTCCTCTCTGTAAGAAAAATTAATAAAAAATATATTAAAAAAATAATAATATTTCTTCAACAGGTCAATTATTATGGAATAAAACCTCAACACTGTAGAATGGGGTGGAAGGCTAGAAAGAGACCAAAGAGAGAAGACACAGGCCTCAACATGAAGCATAACCTAAGGTGCCCTCCTTCAGGAAGGGGGCAAAGGGCAGCCAAACTCAACCCCACCCTCCTCTGGGTAGTGACCTGCACGGTGACACATCTTGTCTCTCTCTAGACATTCCCTGGGGCTTGAAGCTAGGTCGGGGCTACTCGGTACTTACCTGTTATCTGGCTGTTTCCCGTAAGTAGCATAGTTCAGTTTAAAACGTTTTGCCTGGAAATTTAAAAACAAACAAACTAAAACAGAGAAAGGTGTTTTAAGAGCCAAACAATATTTGAAAAGAACTGAAATAAATTACCTTGCCAAAACATCTCCCCCTCTCTAAGCCTCAGCTTTCTCCTGTATAAAGTGAGGGGGTTGCACGGATGACCGCTAGGGGCACTGCCAGCTCCATGGTTCTATGAGCCCCCGTGTGCCAGCTTGGTGCAGCTGGAAGCTAAGTAACTGTGGGAAGAGCAAAATGTAACTCTCTTGAAATGTGTCCTCACTACTGGCAGCCTGTTCTACTTTCTCACTCAGGCCAGAGGTCCAGTTTCAAGTCTTCCATGAAGAGAGGCAGAGGTGCAAGGTGGAAAGGGAATGGATTTCAGGGTCAACCAATCTTCTTTTTGCATCCTGGCATTGCCACTCGCTACCTGTTTTGCCTTTGGGCAAGCTTTATCGCACTTCCCTGAGCTTCAGTTTCCCAGGCTGTCACAGGTAACAATGCCTACTCTTCAGGGTTGTTACAGAATCAAATAAGATCATATAAATATATAGTAGGGATTCAATAAATGACGGTTACTGATAACAATAAAAATGGCAACATCATCATTATCTAAGTGTCCTTACAGGTGTGGCTCCTGGAAGGGGTTTCCCATTAATTTTATGCAAACACTTCTCGGCTGTGGCCAAATCTGCGAATTCTACAAAACAGTAACCAGCTGGAATCCTGGAAAGAAAGAAAACAGAGAGAATGGTTCAAGATGCTGTTCCCAGCCCTATCCGGTTTGGCTCAGTGGATATAGCGTCGGCCTGAGGACTGAAAGGTCCCAGGTTCGATTCCGCTCAAGGGCATGTGCCTTGGTTGCGGTTACATCCCCAGTAAGAGGTGTGCAGAAGGGAGCTGATGGATGTTTCTCTCTCAATGATGTTTCTAATTCTCTATCCCTCTCCGTAAAAAAATTAATAAAAAATTTTTAAAAAATATTTTAGGCTTTGTAGGCCATACTTATTGCATATTCTTTTTTATTTAATTTAACAACCCTTTAAGAGGATAAAAGTTGTTTTTAGATAGACTTCAGGCTGGATCTAGTTTCACTTAGCGATACTAAAGCTCCCACATAAAGTTACTTAATCAATCCCCGGTCGAAAGACACACAGGCTGTCTCCTCTTTTTGTTATTACAGATAATGCTGTGATCCACTAAGCCACACTGGCCAGAGCTTAAAACGTTTGTTTTTTTCTTCAATATGTTTTACTGATTTAAAAAATATATATATTTCATTGATTTTTTTACAGAGAGGAAGGGAGAAGGACAGAGTTAGAAACATCGATGAGAGAGAGTCATTATCAGCTGCCTCTTGCACACCCCCCACTAGGGATGCGCCTGCAACCAAGGTACATGCCCTTGACCGGAATCGAACCCGGGACCCTTCAGTCCGCAGGCTGATGCTCTATCCACTGAGCCAAACCGGTATCGGCTGTTTTACTGATTTTTAAAAATATATATTTTATTGATTTTTTTACAGAGAGGGAGAAGGTTAGAAAGTTAGAAACATCGATGAGAGGGAAACATCGATGAGCTGCCTCCTGCACATCTCCCACTGGGGATGTGCCCACAACCAAAGTACATGCCCTTCGGAATTGAACCCGGGACCCTTGAGTCCGCAGGCCGACGCTCTATCCATTGAGCCAAACCTGCCCTCTCTTCCTCTCTGTAAAAAAACAATAAAATATATTAAAGAGATTATAAAATATAAAAGTAAATGTAAATAAATATATATAACATAAAACTTACTTTTAAGTATATATTTTTGTGGTGTTAAGTACAATTTGTGCAACCACTGACTGCATTATTTTTTTATTTTTTATTCCTTATTAATACAGTATTTATTTGTCTTCCTTTTGTCAAACCCCGAGCAAACCACTTTCCCCAGGCTGCCTAGGGAGGTATAGGAAAAGGAACAGCCAAAACCGGTTTGGCTCAGTGGATAGAGTGTCAGCCTGCGGACTGAAAGCTCTCGGGTTAGATTACGGTCAAGGGCATGTACCTGGGTTGCGAGCACATCCCCAGTGGGGGGTGTGCAAGAGTCAGCTGATAGATGATTCTCTCTCATCGATGTTTCTAGCTCTCTATCCCTCTCTTTTCCTCTCTGTAAAATTCAATAAAATATATTAAAAAAAAAAAAAAAAAAAAGGAAAAGGAACATATAGGGCAGACAAGACACGGGAAAAAGAACTATGGGAGGTGGAGACAGCTCCTTCACATGGCGAAGAGGATGAGAAAGGCCATCATCAGGCAGAAGAGCCCCATGGCCTCTGAGAGGGCAGAGCCCAGAATGGCGTAGGAGAAGAGCTGTTGCTTTAGAGAAGGGTTCCTGGCATAACCAATGAGGCTCCCAAACACAGTCCCAATTCCAGCCCCAGAGCCTGCCACCCCTGCTGTGGCAGCCCCAGCCCTAATGAACTTGGCTGCTGTGTCGATGTTCCTTGAAATGGCACTGGTTTGGAAGCTGCAGCTAGAAATAAGCGAGGTCAGGGGATGTGGGGCTGCCAAGCTGCTGCGGCTCTCATCTGCCAAGGTCTCCGGTCTTTTCAGCACCACTGCAAACACTGACCGGCTCAGCTGAGAGGCGCTCCTGACCAAGGAGGGGGTGGAGATAAACTTGGTGCAGGCATACATTTTCAGGGGATGAAAGGAGCTGCTCCCAGTGCAGAGAAGACGGAGACTGACTGAATTATTTTTAAAGCACTATGTTCTATTGGATATTATTTTTCTTTGGGTCTTATCTTTTTGCCTTATATTCTCTGGTGTTGGTTTTTAAATTTACTTTTATTTTTTTCTCTTGTAAAGCCACTAAAAGTCTTTGCCAAATGAGGGAGGATATAAATGCAATGTGTCTGTAAGTACCACCATAAGAAACAGCAGAGTTTAGTAACCATGGGTAGAAGAGTAGTTCCAAATCCTATTTCAATAAAGATTAAAATGTGAGAATCTATGTCAATATTTTAAATGGTAGAAAGTATCACTGAATGAATTTTCCTACTAGGCGCTCATTATCTAGTGTTTTCTGTCTACAAGAGCAAGAAAAATAGTTAGGCCACCATGCTCAATAACCATCGACAACTTAATAAAGGAATCCTCTCATTTCCAACTAGAACCCTAAAGAAAACCAAGACACACACACCCCTAGCCCACCAAAGAGAAAAAAGTAACTGGGGGCACTAGCACACTATCGAAAACATTCTCTGCATTGTTTTGTTTACACAATTTATTGCCTCTTCCCCCATTAGGACGTAGTAAACTCCATGAGAGGAGGGACTGTGTCTGGCTTGTTTCATGGGAAGCTAGGACAGTAGTACAAAGTAGTGTCGCTATAAACGAGATTTTAAATGATAGCATTAAAGTTAAGGGCACTCGCAGAACTGAATTTGAGTCCTGACTTGTCATTTAATAATGGTGATTTTAAGTCAGTTATCAAGCTTCCCTAATAACAGTACTTCACTCAGAAATTTTTGTGATTTTAAATTATTAATTACCTAACAGATAAACTCTATTTATGTTTATATAATCTGCACATATGCCAGAAACTATTCTAAATGCTGAATGTGAATTAACTCATTTAATCTTCACCTTAATTCTATCATCTCCATTTTAAAAAAAAATATATTTTATTGATATTTTACAGAGAGGGAGAGGAGAGAGATAGAGAACTAGAAACATCGATGAGAGAGACATCGACCAGCCGCCTCCTGCACACCCCACACCAGGGATGTGCCTGCAACCAATGCACATGCCCCTGAAAGGAATCGAACCTGAGACCCCTCAGTCTGCAGACCGACGCTCTATCCACTGAGCCAAACCAGTTTTGGCTATCATCTCCATTTTTATAGTCAAAGTGAAGGAGACAGAGAGGTAAGGTAACTTACCAAAGGTCACACAGCAGACACAGCTTTCAAACAGACTGGGTCTGGAATGAATATGCTATGCTTCCTCTCAATTAAGGCCCGAATGCTAGCCTTTATAACATAATTAGAGGCCTGGTGCACAAAATTCATACACTGGAGGGGTTCCTCAGCCTGGCCTGTGCCCTCTCGCAGTCTGGGTGCTCAAGGGGTAGGAGGTGGGGGGCGGGGGATAATGCCTGACTAATGGCTCTTCGGACATCCTTAGCACTGGCGGAGGCGGGAGAGGCTCCCACACTACCCCTGTGCTCACCCTGAGAGTCTGGCTTCTGGCTGAGCAGTCCTCCCCCTGTGGGAGCGCACTGACCACCAAGGGGCAGCTCCTGCGTTGTGTGCCCCCTGCTGGTCAGTGTGGGTCATAATAACTGTTCGTTCTGCCATTTGATCTATTTGCATATTAGCCTTTTTTTTTTTTAAATGTGTTTTTTATTTCAGAGAAGAAGGGAAAGGGAGAGATAGATGGAAACATCAATGATGAGACAGAATCACTGATCGGCTGGCTCCTGTATATTCCTCCTCACCGGGATCAAGCCCTAAACTCAGGCATGTGCCCTTGATCGGATTCGAACCCGGGACCCTTCAGTCCACAGGCTGACACTCTATCCACTGAGCCTAACCGGGTGGGGCTAGCCTTTTATTATATAGGATAACTATAATTATGGTGAGAAGCCCAGACTTTCTGCGATGTTTATATTTACCCAAATGACGCTTGCCGCCTATTAAGGGAGAAGTAACTGAGCAGGCAGAAGGAAAGACCGTACCCAGCCGAGACCGGTTTGGCTCAATGGATGGAGCGTCGGCTTGGGGACTAAAGGGTCCCGGGTTCGATTCCGGTCAAGGGCATGTACCTTGGTTGCGGGCATATCCCCAGTAGGGGGTGTGCAAGAGGCAGCTGATCGATGACTCTCTCTCTCATCGATGTTTCTAACTCTCTCTCTCTCTCCCTTCCTCTCTGTACAAAAACAATAAAATATATTAAAAAAAAAGAAAAAGAAAAAAGACCGTACCCAGTGAGGCGGTTTCGGATAATTTTGACGCTCATCACGGTCTCCCCCATGGTGGCGAAGGCTCTGGAGATGAAGTTCTCGTCCATGTAGGGCTCCAGCTGCGTAAATGCAAGGGCAGAGCGACTCAGGCAGAGGCAGGCTCCGCACCCCGGCTCCAGAGCCCCCACCCCTCAGCTCCGGGCTGGGAACATGCTGTGTGTGTGTGTGTGTGTGTGTGTGTGTGGACAGGTTCTCACCTGCAGAGCGGGCTGAACTGCACTTCCTTCCCCTGCCATTAAACCGGCACCCTCGGGAGCCTCCCCCGTGGACTCAGAAACCCACCCCTGCAGCCTTAAACCCGGAGCGCTGCCGGGCCAGCGGCGGTTCCACTCCCCATCAGGAGCGTGTGCTTGGGCTGCGGGCTCCTTCCCGCCCTCCGCCCCCCACATGGCACCTGGGGAGGCAACCCACCGACTCCCGCAGATGCTTCCCTCTAGCTCTCCCCTCCCTTCCCTCCACTCTAAAAACCAATGGAAAAAATACCCCCCGATGAGGATTAACAACAATAAAAAGACGTTAAACAAACAAAACCAAAGAGCCCTCCAAAAGCCTCGGGGTCCCCCCTTCTCAGTCCCCAAAGCACCTCCCTTTCGCCTCCACGACTCGCGGCGAGGCCCCGGGCCTCCTCCCCCCGGACTCGGTCCCCTCCCCTGGATGCTGGCACCCGCTTCGGTGTCACCAGAACTCCCCTTCCTGTGCACTTCCATCGCTTTGGGGTCCGAGGACCCCGCCCCTTCAGGCCCTTCCTCCCGCTGACACTAAGGTTCCCCCTCGTGGGCCGCGGGAGCCGCCCGCACTCACGTCGCCCATCCACAGGCTGGCCGCCATGGCCCCGGTCGGGCCGGGCTCGGGCAGCGCCGCGCCGGCGCGAGTCCTCCGGCGGGACCGCCGCGGAGCATGCGCTGACGGCGCCTTGTGCGCACGCGCCTCAGCGCCGCGGGCAGCGCGGCCCGGGCGGCTTCGGGGTTTTCCGGAGACTCAGGGCGCCAGCTTCCGGGTTCCTTCGGGCCAATTCGGAGCCGAGTCCGCCGAGCGGGGCGGGGCGGACTTCACCCTGCGCAGGATGGTGGCTTGCTGGGGTAACAGGCTTTCTCGGGTTTCTTTCTCACTTTTATATATTTAAATATATAAATAACATTTATATACAACATTTATATAAACGTACAAATAACATTTCAAAAGTAACATACCCTCATTGTAGAAACTTGCACATACAAGTTTTAATATTTTATTGACTTCAGAGAGGAAGGTTGAGGGAGAAAGAAACATCAAAGATGAGAACCATCCATTGGCTGCCTCCCGCTCGGCCCCCACTGGGGATGGAGCCCGGAACCTAGACACGTGCCCTTGAACCGGAACCGAACCTGGGACCCTTTAATCCGCAGGAGGTCGCTCTATCCACTGAGCTAAACCAGCTAGGGCCGTGTTGTTTTTAAGGGTGAAATGTCCCCTGTGGGAGACTTGGACGATCCAGTTCCACTAACTGTGGACAAGCCACTGGTCTGCCCCAGCCACCCAGTTCCCAAGACGAGATTTTTGTTGAAGTTGGAATGGGATTCCTTCACCATTCTGGTGACTCACCCGAGGGGGCGTGAAAAGGAGTGTAAATTGGGGCAATCCTGTCATCTCAAACCACTCAATCCAGTCTTGTCACTTTGCTTTCTTGAATCCCACATCCACTACCCTAATCCAAACCGCCAGGAACTTTAACCTGCCCATGAAGGCCCTTGGTAAACAGATTTCGATGACTTTAATCTTGAGTTTAACAGTGCCCCAGCCATCGCCTCACTTAGTGCCCATTCCTCAGAACCCTCCGTAGGTGAGAGTTCTCAAATAGTGAAGTTCCTAACAAATGCTTCCGGATCCCTTTCTGGGACCCCCAACTAGGCTAATGAACCAAGAGTTGCCAAAATTGCCAAATTTCACTGCAATATTGATGTAGTGGTTGGTTTTTTGGCTATAGATTCAAACAAATGGAGCATCAATCCCAGCCCCTTCTCGATTATTGTGGCAAGTTATTGAACCTGAGGTGAATGTAGATAATAGCAGAGCTTACCTCACAGGGTGTTGGTGTTGTGAGGCCTTCAAATGATAACTTACAGCAATAAAGTATTTAGTATTGTTCACCAACCTGTGCTGTGCTCTTTGCTTATGGAAAAAACTTAAATACTCTCTCTATTGGGGCAATGATTTCCAAATCTTTTCCTTAGAATTTCCTTGCATATTTCTAAATAACATACTTATTCATTTATAGTTTCAGATATTTTAACAACTGCCATACACACACACACACACACTTCCCCATCTTAATTTTTGTGAAAGCAGTTATTGAACATTTACATTATTTATAGTTGAGCCACATGGGGTATTATGACATTTGTTTTGGGGTAACCAATCCAGGATGGAGGAAAATGAGGGAAGATAGAACTAAGCATTTGAAAAAGCCAATTAATTATTAATTCCCTAGAATAAGAAGTAGTACAACAGTCATACTAGAGAATACTTACAGAACACTTACTATGTGCCTGACAGTTCTGATATACATAAGGCACCAACAGAGGACTTTACAATTCTTATGTGCAACACAAGGAAAAGGACGGGAGTTCTGGGCTCAGGCTAATTTAGATTTAAGCCTACACTTACTTCACTTCAAGCAAGTCACTTGAACTCTCAGGGACTGTTTTCCCGAGAGACAGCAATTACTACTTCAAAGGCTGGTGTGAAGAGAGGATTAAACAAACTATTATTGCCTATAAAGCGCTCAGCCCATTTTAGGTCCCACTCCATAAGAGCTATCATTAAAGGCACGTCCAACCTGCTATATTGTCAAAAGGGAAAAACTCCAATAAATCTAATCCAATTGAAATTGGTGGTGGATGGGTATGAGGTGGATAGGGGAGAGGGTTTAGCAGACACATAAATGCTTCTTTACAAAGAAAATATAATCAAAGTGTGATTTTTTTTTCCTTCTAAGAATCCAATTTCTAATCAATATAGTGCCTGTATCAAAACTAAAAATTCAAAAGGGGGAAAAAATCACAGACTACATTTTAAGTTATTTTACATCATATTCATTTTTCCAAGAGTCACTGACATCCAAGGAAAATCCTCCTGGCCCTAATAAAACTTTGTTATACATATACAGACCTGCTGTATCAACAGTGTCCACTGTAGCCTTCTGCAATTATAGAAACGTCCTATAGCCCAATACCATAGGCACTAACTACACCTAATTATGGAGGACTTGAGATGTGGCTAGTGCAAAAAAGGAATTAATTTTTTTTTACGTTTTAATTGATTTAAATGTAAAATGCCACATGTAGCTAGTGACCATCCTATTAGATGGGCCAGCTCTATGATTTTGTTTGCTCAAATGCCTATGAAAATCTACATCAATATGAGTAAGTTGTCTTACGAGTTACTGTGCAGTTAATTATGTTTTATCAATTATATCAGCTGTTGAAAAAGATACAACAGCAAGCTTAGTAAAAGTATTTCTAGAGATGTACCATCTTGATTTGGGATTAGGATGTTGAAAGAACCATTCCATGTCTCCCATATTATGCAGCATAATTTTTTTTTTTTTAAATACAGTGATTCCTGAAACATAAATACCTAGGCAAAAATAAAATCTTTTTTGATTTGCATGGAAGTCACAGCTGACAGGCACACATCAGGACACCCTGACTTCACCTGAAGTCCTAGTCTTGACAGAGTCCACAGGTGCGGGTCTATCCTGTCCTTCCCAACACAGATGTTCCCTTAAAAAAGCAGGGAATGTGTAGAAAACAAGTGGCCTGTTTTATAAAACTCTAAATTTATTCAAAATGTTAAAAGACTTCACTCTCTTCTAAAATACTTTACATTAAAAAAAACACCACCTGCTTGCTGTTTTCTCAGACACGGTACACGCTTCTGCTTCCCTTTCTGGAAACCAGTCTCTGCCCACCCAACCCTCCCCCCGGCCCTCCCTTCACTCTCCATATTTATAAAACCCCCTTCGCCCCTGCTCACTTCCTGTCCAGATTTCAGGCCGGTGCGGCAGGCTGCAAGGGCAGTGCAGGACAATGCTTTGTGCTTCTGGGAGAAAGCTGATTGGCCTTTTTCTTGATCAAGTGGAGGATCACTATTTATTTGCCCCTTGGATACCTGTTCAGGGCCAAGTATTTGGCTTGGGCTTGCCCACAGCCAGTAGCCCTGCCCCTTTCCCAGTTCCCCCAGGCATAGGTGCATGACAGCTGGGTCCGACAACTGTGCCATCTGTCTGCCTGTGGATTGTGAACGACATTAAGAGTGGCACATGACTAGAGTAGGGCTCGATGGAGCCCCAACTTCTCAGGGTGTAGGAAACCAACCCCCAGGGGAGGAAGGTGTGGTTGGTTGTAGACAAAACCAAGGTCAGCCAGGACCATGGGAGGTAGGGATCAGGGGAAGGTCTAATCGCATAGTTCTGGGATGAGCAACAGTCCAACACAATCCACTCCCCTCTTCCATCCCGCCCTCTTCATCCTGTAGGTTACAGGATGATTCCGGAAAGGAGGGGAAAAAAGAGGAAAGTGATTCTGTTCTGTGGATGGAAAAAAAGGCAGGTGATGATGACAAAGTACTTGGGGTTGGGAAAGGCCAGTTGGAGTCTGAGTCATCACAGCTTCTGTGTTCCAGAAGGGAGGGGGCGGGGCCGGGAGCCAGGCCCTAGAAGCTTCATCAGCTCTGTTCCTTGTCCCTGACTAGTAAGACTGTGTGCTGGCCCCCGCTGGACACAGATAGAACCAGGCGGTTCTCCAGCTGTTTGCCTGTCATCTCCACGGGAATCCAGGCATCCTCCTCCTGTCCCGTGCCCAGCTGGTAGTTGGTGCCCATGCCCCAGGCAAACACACGACCTGCAAGAGAAAGAAACGGGGACAGCTATCTTCAGAATCCGCGGTGAGAGAAGCCTGGGACATAGGGTGAATTTAGCCCTGGCCTGTAGCAGCCTGGCAAGGTCCCAGCCTCTGGGAGTCCAGGGAAGCTGGGAAAAGCCAAGGAGAGGATGGTAAGAAGTTTTGTTATCCTGGGACCACAGTTTTTAACCACCGCCAATTACTTCTCCCTGTTCCTAGGCATGGCATTCAAGGCCCTCCGTGACTAGCCACTCCACAGATCCCCACACCACCCTCCACTCCCGGGCCAGCCACCCGAGACGGTTCTCGATGTTCCTGTGCCAGGATGCTCTCCTTTGCTTATCAGAAATCTTCAAAGTGTAGTACAAGCCCCACTTCCTCAGGAACTCTTCCCAGAGAGTCCCACATCCAGCACCTCCACCAGCCTGACTTCTCAAGGCCTCCATGGCTGTGAGCCTCGTCCACTCAGGCTTTGGTGACTGCTCACTTACACCCTCCGCTGCTATGCTTGCCAAACCCAACTACTAAACCTTCTTTTTCCTAATAAAATTCTAAGTATAACTCTCTGGACACTGGCACATACTAGGTTGTAAATAAAAAGATCACCATAGTGGGAAATGTAAAGAAAAGCCTAAATCAGGAGTCTGGAGACCTGAGTTCAAGTCTACTGTCTGGCCAGGTCTTGGTTATTTATCCCCTTTTGCTGTTGTTATTTTTTCCTCTACAGAACAATTTACCTTTATTAAAATAATTTGTTTATTCCCCTGGCCAGTGTTGTTCAGTTGAGAGAGTGTTAGCCCATCCACCAAAGGGTTATAGGTTCAATCCCCAGCCACAGTCATGGCACATGCAGGAGGCCAACCAATTGATGTGTTTCTCAAATCAATATTTCTCTCAGCCTCCCCTTCTGTCTTTCCACTCTTTCTCTATAAAAAAATAATAATTTTAAAAATTCATTTTAAGTTCATCAAAGTCAAAAGCTTTTGATAATCAGGAGAAAAACCATGTTTTCATAAATACAGCTCTGCATCTCAGCTCCATCTCATGGTGGACATCAGAGCCTGCTGGGTTATTTGATAGGAGTCACAACCCCCAGCCCAATCAGACTGAATGTGGGCAGCCCCACTTACCATCCTTGGTCACGGCATAGCCCACAGAGGCCCCACAAGCCACGGAGGAGACAGAGGGCAGCCTGGAGATGAGGGTGGGCATGCTCTTCTCCTCAGCACCCTCTCCGAGGCCCAGCCTCCCATACTCAGCCCGGCCCAGGCTGTAGGCTTTTCCTGTGGGAGGAGGGAGAGAGGTGAGGAGAAGCAGAGGGTGTGTTCCCGGTTGGCCAGGCGAGTTCCCATTTCCATGGGAGCTGGTCCCCATTCCCTGGGTGGTGAGGAGGTGGTTTTCGGTATCTCTTCCAGTTTTGGGGAGGCCTGGGAGAACCTCCACAGGCCCCCACTGAATTCATACTTGGCAGAGCACCAGGACTCTTCCTCTGGGGGTTAGGTGTAACCTCACAGACCCACATCTGGCCCAGGTTCCAAGAGCCATGGTCTCAGGAGTCAGGCCAGGCCTGTGCAGAGGGATGAGGGCATTCCTGGGCCCAAGGTCCTACCTTCCGAATCCATGCAGACTGTGTGGTGTTGGCCACCAGAGAAGCCCACCCAGGACTTGGTAGAGTTCTTGAAGGAGGTCAGGTTCTGGGGTACAAAGCAAGACTCTGTGCCTGAGGTTCCTGGAAGGCAAAGGCAGGAGAGAGTTGTTAGGGGTGGAAGTGTCCAAGGAGCTGTTCTTCATCCTCTCCCACACCAAGGCCATCCTACCCTCTACAGCATATGAATATTTTCACTTTACAGATGACAAAACTGACTCCGAGGGAGCCAGGATGGGATTGGGACTCACCAAGTTGGTGGTAGTTTGAAAGGCCAAAGCCATACACATGGCCCTCGACGGAGATGGCAAAGGTGAAGTAGGCGCCACAGAAGGCATCCTGGAATTTCACATGGCCCCGGGTCCCCCTGGATTTCAACAGCACACACTTGGGGACCAGGAGTCGTTCTGCAAGCAGAGAAGCAGCCAAGGTCAGTGGCAGACACACCAAGCCTCTCCTCTCTGCCCGGTGCTGGCTCCTCCCACATCACCAAAGCCCTCGAAGGGATGCTAAGCAGGGACTTTTCTCCCTAGTATGTGAGGCCGAGAGAGTAAAGAGCCTCACCCAGACTCCCACAGCCCTAAGAGGTAATATCTACATGGGATATTTACAGGTGCCATTCTTCTCTGGTGACTCACTTAACCTCACAACCCAATGAGGTGGGTGGGTTTAGAGATGAGAAAACTATGTCCAGGGTCCCATAGCCAGCAGGTGGTAGAACCAGGATTCAAAACCAGGATAGCCTGGCTCTAGAGTCAAAGTTCTTACTATCTATCTATCTATCTATCTATTCCATCATAGCTACTGGGCATTCAGCCATTCAGTCTATTTGCATATTCATCTGTGAGTGAATTTATTTATTGATTTGAAAGAGGGAGGGAGAGAAAACATTGATTTGTTGCTCCATTCATTTATGCAGTCATTGGTTGCCTCCTGTATGTGCCCTGACCAGGGATTGAACCCATAACCCTGGGGTATTGGGACAATCATCAAACAAACTGAGCTACTGGCCAAGGCTAGAGTCAATGTCCTTAACTATTAGGTCTAGTAATAATTAATGTCGTTTTCTAATACTTTTTTAAATCGAATTTAAACAACAAAATTTAATCAACAATATAGTTGCCGTTGTTTTCTACTACTTGTGCCCAACGCTCAGGAAGCATTTTAATCCCTCTGTTGTAAAATTCTTGTGATTTTGATGCAAAAAATTCGGTCAATGCATTTTTGAGGCATTCTTCATTATTAAATTTTTTTCCAAGAAGAAAGTTTTGCAAAGAACGAAACAAATGGTAATCGGAAGGGGCAATATCAGGAGAATATGCAGGTTGAGGGAGAACTTCCCATCCAACTGGCGCAGTTTTTCAGCAGTGATTCTTGCAGTATGCGGTCGTGCGTTATCGTGGTAAAGAATTACGCCCTTCTGATTAATCAGCACAGGTTCTTTTTCTCTTAAAGCTTGGGCTAACCTTTCCAATTGGGCACTATAGACTGCACTTGTAATGGTTTGGTTAGATGGTAAAAGTTCATAACGAAGAATTCCTTTAAAATTCCACCAAACACACAACATCACTTTTTTCGCATGCAAGTCAGGTTTTGACGTGGGCTGCGGAGCCTCATTTTTGTCCAACCATTGAGGCCGCCTTTTCAAATTAACATACAGCACCCATTCTTCATCTCCGGTAACAATTTGCTCTAAAAACAGCGAACGGTTTTGACGAGAGAGGAGCGAACTGCAAATTGTGACTCTTTGATTACGGTTGTTGTCGGTCAACTCATGAGGAACCCATTTTCCAAACTTTTGGACTTTGCCAAGTGCACGCAATTGATTGGAAATTGTTTTTTGTGAACAATTTAAAGTTGTCGCAAGCTCTTGTTGGGTAATTTGAGGATTTTGCACCAAAAGAGCTTGAAGAGCTTCTTGATCAAAATTGGACACACGGCCTCGACCACTCTTGTCATCTAACGAAAAAATTTCCCTCGCGAAATTTCTCAAACCAACGCTGGCATTTTCTGGCGCTAACTGCATCTTGACCAAGAGCACTACAGATGTTTTTTGCAGCCTCACTTGCTTTTCTTCCTAATTGGAACTCGTAAAGCATGCAGTGCCGAATATGCTCTTCATCCGCCATCTTCTTAGCCCTAGTTTTGCAACAAAAACCAAACCAAACACAAACTTTTTCAAGCAAAACTTGTTAATTGCACTTCACACGTTCTGTAGATACCACGTGTTTGAAGGTTATGTCAATACAAGTCAACGCCAAGCAAGATTTTAAACGAATGTTTTAAAACGACATTAATTATTACTAGACCCTACCACTGCAAATCTACCTGATGTAAGCCTACACACAGAGAATCCCTCCTGCCTGTGACCTTCATCAGGGGTTGTATGCCGAGTTGCCCTGCCAGAGGGACCTAGCCCACCTACCAAGGCCCTGCCGGCCACCACGATTGGCAAATAATTCAGGGACACGGCCCAGCTGACCCTGCTCCCCGCAGCCCAAAGTGTAGAGGTCACCATCAAGTGTCAGCATCACCAAGTGGTCATTTCCTGAGGGCGAGAGGAAGGCAAGAGATGCAGGACTTGTAGAACCCAAGGCTTGGGCAACACCAGAATGAGGTTCTCCAACTCTGCCCAGAGCAAGTAACGCCAGACTCACCCGAGGCCACCTTCACCACAGGCTCACTCAGCTGCACTTGCACAGGCACCATGCTCTTCTTCATGGGCTCCAGGAGCCCAATCACACCATTATTGTCCTAGGAGGGGCAAAGCACTATCAGCCAGTCCTGCATGGCCCATAGCGGCCAGATCAACCATAGAGCTGTCTGGTAAGGGGCACTGGCGCCAGGTGGGGATGGAGAGGCGGACAGCAATGAGGCCACATAGTGAGATTCTCACGAATGAATCACACATGGTCTGGTATCGGAGTACCCTGGCCGGGTCTGGCTTAGCCAGAGGTCATCGGCCTTTTGGGCTTCACGGACACCAGTGTTCTGCGGACCACTGGTTGGTGATTGCTGCTCCAAATGCTCGCTTAAACTGTCGGACCTCATGGACCACTGGTTGGCAACCACTGGCTTATGGATAGAGCTTCAGCCTTCGTACCAAAAGGTCTTGGGCATGATTCTGGTCAAGATCACATGCTTGGGTTGGGGGCTCGATCCCCAGAAGGGGGTGGGAAGGAGGCTGCCAATCAATGATTCTCTCTCATCATTGTTGTTTCTATTTCTCTCTCCCTCTCCCTGCCTCTCAGAAGTCAATAAAAATATATTAAAAATTAATATAAAAATCCAATATTCCTGAGAAGCGTGGAAGACAGCTAGGAAGGGAGAAGGAGAGGTTGAAGGTAGCAAGATGAGTGCGAACAACAGGCTTTCTGGATCAGTCTCAGCTAAAGACCTCCTTGACCACCCACGTCTTTCCTAAGACACACTTCACATCCGATTCTAGGCAGCAGCCAAAGGAGTGGACAGGCCTGAATAAAGAAGCCAGAGACCTGGCTGGTCTGGGCCCAAGCTCTACTTCTAGACCTTGACTTCCTCGCCAGTAAGTAGAATAGGGGCATGGAGATAGGTTATCCTTGGGGCCCCACCAGTTAATTCTGTCCACCAGCCCATGCAGTCTCCCAGCCCATCTCACCCGGAAGGAGCCCCAAAGGAAGACTCGGCCGTCCTCGGTGAGCGCTGCTGTGTGACTGTCTCCTGCGGACACTTGCACCACTTTCTCTTGCAGTTCCACTTTCCCAGGCACCATCTCAGAGCCCTCCACTGATGTGTCCCTTCCCAGAGCACCCTCATCGTTGCAGCCAAAGGAGTAGACCTGTCCAGAATGCCCCCATTAGTGCGAGATCTGGCCTTCCAGCCCATTCTTGTTCAGACCACCCCTTTCAGCCCATTCTTGTTCAGACCACCCCATGCAGCTAGCCAGCTCCATCTCCATAGGAAGGGAAATGTACGGCTTAAAGCTCCTTCTCCAAGCCCCCTCCCCAACAGACCCTCCATCCCACGCCACGCCCCCAACCTACCTGGCCACTTTTGCTTAGGCACACGGTGTGCATGCCCCCAGCCTCAGCCTGAACAATGTCTTCCGGAATGGTTACTACAGCTGGCTTCTTCCTCTCCATCACATTCTCGCCCAGCCCCAGCTGGCCCACATCACCCTGGCCCAGTGTCAGCACCAAGCCCGGCTCTGTGCGGTGGGACCTATGTGAGACTGAAGAGTGAAGAAGACAGCCGAGTGTGTAGGATGATGGGAGAGAGGAGAGGTCACTGCATGGGCTCTGGGTTCAATCCCATGCTCTGCCACAGACCTTAGTATGACCCTCTGAGCCTAAGCTTCCTCATTTGTGAAATGGGGATATCAGAAGTCCCTATCTCATAGGGTTTGTGTAAAGGTTAAAAACTGAGCACATTAATCTGAAAGGAAGGAAATAGAAACAAGGGGACACTCAATACTGTGAAATGAATCTTGGTGGGAACAGTGAGCACCTCAGATAGTTTTCCTGATTAGCTGTAAGTTCTGGATAAGGCGCCATGGTGCCGAAGGTGAGGGCTCAGGTCATCAAGTCTACTCTTTACTGACTGCTTACTCCACTAATGCTAAAGTGCTTCGTAGTCTCCCAAATTATGCTGCAGCCTTTCCATATTTAAGATCCCATTTTACAGGAAAGGGAATGGAGCCTCAGAGAGGTTAACGGAGCTAATAAGTATACCAGGGGAGCCTACGTGAATCTACACAGTCCCTAGCTCCATCCTCAGGGTGTCCCAGAATTCTGATCAGTCACACAGACACCCAGGTTCCTGTAAGGAGCTGCAGAGGGAGGAGCAGCAGTAAGAGCTAACAGGTTTTTGCCAGGTAAGCGCCAACCAGTGGGCAGTCCAGGACAGCCAATGGTGTCCAGCCCTCCCCCAGGGTTGCCAGGGCCTCTGAGGCTGCGCTGGGCAGGGAGCCACCTGGTCGGGTTTTCTGGTTGGCAGGGCTCGGCCTGCAGGCCCCTCGGGTGTGGTGGGCGCCTGGAACACGGTGGGAAGCAACGGCCCTCACTGCCTGGTTACGAGGGTCTGCAAAAGACAGACACTGTCTGAGTACGGGTCCACACTCCCCCTTCTCAGATTGGGGCTGGAGCTCTCCTCCCTGTCTCCCTCCAGGGTTCCAGAGAAAAAATCACGCCACCTCCCTCAAATGCCAGCATGACATTATCTCATTTTCCTCACAACAGGCCAGTGAGGTTGGACTTGTTCTCCCTCTTATTTCAGGAAAGGCGTAACCCAAGATCAGGGCCAATGACTTGAGCCCACATCTGGAAGTCAGTGGTCCAAACCATAAGCCATTACAGCCTGGGGCAAAGCCTTAGGGTCTAGGTTTTTTGCTAATGCCCCCCGAGTGCTTTTAAACAAGTCTCTGTGCCTTGGGGGTGGGATTTAATGACCTACATGAGACCTGCCAACTGGGTGGAGCTTATGGACTTCCAGGCCCCTCAGCTTCAAATGTCAGCGGGGAAGGAGGCCAGTCCCGGATTTTGAGGGGTTCAAGAGGCCACACATACTGAGACAGAAGCCAACTTACCCTTCACTTTCTTGCTTTTGGGGAGAGCATCTTCTGGGGGTGACCTTTTCTTAGCCACTCGCTTGGGTGGCATCTTCCTGTCCTGAAAAGCCCAGGCAAATACTCCATGTCAGATGGCAACCAATGTCCTGCTCTAACCAGGCAACATTGACAGAGACAAAGACCTCTACAAAGGCGAGAGGCACTGCCAGCAGTGCCACTTCTCAGGCAGTGCCACTTCTCAGATTTAAGAACGAGAACGGAATAATACACCCAAAGTTAGTTCCACAGATACTCTCTACTGTGTGCTTCATAACAGAAAAAAAAAAAGTGGAGCAACCCATGTGCTTAATAGTAGGAGTGGCTACGTAGCATATTCATGATAGAACAGTATGAAGCCACTAAAAGTGATGCTTTCAGAGATTCGTTTCTTGAGTAGGAAGAGTTTACCATTGCCAAATAATATAAACACATCAAAAAACAGTACATCCCATTTTTGAAATATAAATGCATACACACATGTAAAAATAAGTGTAGAAAAATGTATAGAAGGAAATATGTCCATTAATAATGTTAACCTCTGGAAAATAAGATCATGGACAATTTTTACTTTTTTCTTTACACTTCCCTATATTATATAAGATGTTTATTAAGAAGTATTTCATATTTTTATTATAAAAAATGAAAAAGTTGGTGTGGCTGTAGCTGAGGAACATTCATCCCTCATAACTGCCCTCAAACCCTGAGATAATCACTAGTAACTTTGTAACTAACAGTTAACTACATAACCACTATGTAACTGATGTACTACTGTCATTATCAGACTTTACAAAGTTATTCTAATGAAGTAAAACCAAACCTGACCATTTGTGCTCTCTGATCAGAAAGTGCCCCTTCTGGGAGAAGCCTGGCTTTTCTATCCAACAGGGCACTGTAGAGCAGAATATCTCCTCACACTCACACACAAACACCACGTGTTACAAGAGGGAAAGGAAAGCGCCTCCAGGTGACAAGAAGGGTTGTTGGGTCCTAGCTGGTTTAGCTCAGTGGATAGTGTCAGCCTGTGGATTGAAGGGTCCCGGGTTCCAGTCCGGTCTGGGCACGGCTTGATCCCCGGTGTGGGGCATGTGGGAGGCAGCCAATCAATGATTCTCTCGTCAATGCTGTTTTTCTCTCTCTCTTCTTCTCCCTTCTTCTCTGCAATCAATAAAATTTAAAGGAAAGAAGGAAGGAAGGAAGGGAGGGAGAAAGGAAGAAAGGAAGTTGGACCCAGGATGATTTGGGCAGTTAAAAGCCTGTCTTGAACCACCCTCCTTTATTTATTTATTTATTTATTTATTTATTTATTTATAATATTTTTTTTTGATTTTTTTACAGAGAAAAAGAGAGAGGGATAGAGAGTTAGAAACATCAACGAGAAAGAATCATTGATCAGCTGCCTCTTGCACACCCTCTACTGGGGATGTGCCTGCAACCAAGGTACATGCCCTTAACCGGAATTGAACCCAGGGCCTTTCAGTCTGCAGGCTGACGCTCTATCCACTGAGCCAAACCAGTTTTGGCTCCTTCCCCTCCTTTAACTGCTACAGCTCCCCAAGGTCTTCAGGTCTTCCTCAAGGCTGCTGAGAACAGAGGCATTCTCTCTCAATACCAATCCAGCCAATTTGTGCCCCAAACTTTTTCCTCTACTAATGCATCTTTATTGGGTCCTGGCCTTTAAGATTGTGAAGGACAGTCAGGTGGTCTAAGCCTGGGTGCCCAAACTCTGAATTGTAATCTTTCTGTATGGATGGCTGGAGCCAGGACACTTTAAAGCTGTCCAGATGTGGAAGTGGTATATAGCCTGCGGCAGTTAAGAGTCTAGCCTCTGCCCTAGCTGGTTTGGCTCAGTGGATAGACCACTGGCCCTCAGACTGAAGGGTCCCTGGTTCGATTCCGGTCAAGGGCACATACCCAGGTTGTGGACTCAACCCCAGACGGGGGTGTGCAAGAGGCAGCTGATTGATGATCCTCTCTCATCAACGTTTCTCTCTATCCCTCTCTCTTCCTCTCTATAAAAAATCAATTAAAACACACACACACATACACACACACAACCCAAAAATAAATAAATGCATAAATGCATAAATGCATAAATGCATAAATAAATAAATAAAAAACACCACATATGATCCTGGTCAGAATTGGGCTTGGCCAAACACAAAGACTCACGGGGTTTGACTTAACCAACTATGTGGGTGGTAGACTTCCATTTAGTGAGATGAAGAATACTGTGGGGCAAGCAGGAGAGGAGACCTGGATCTCCATTTTACCAGGTGTTTTCATTGAGTCTGAAGTGCATGGGAACTAGCAAGAAGAGATGTTAAGGAGACAGAGCAGGGGGTGAAAGGTAAGAGGTAGACAGCTTGTACCACTGGCCGGGCTGGCAGCCAGCTCACTGTGTCCAGGGCCGGGCAAACGCAAATCCCCAGTCAGTTCCTCAGGATGACCTGTAGCTGTTGTGGGGGTCCAGAACAAGTCTCCCCAAGGAGTGCCTCTGTGGTATGCAGACTGTTTTGAGAATTTTGGCTTAAATTCTGGGGCCTCTCACTGCAAGCTAGTCACATTGTCCATATTATACAGACAATAAGGGAAGGATCCCACCCAAGTTTCAAAAAAGATCTGAACCAAGTTGGTCAGGCTCCAGAGCTACTGAACTGATCAGCTTCCTCACACTCTCCAGTCTCAGTCTGCCTGTCTGGGAACTCTCCATCCTCTCTCCCGAAGTGGTCTCCCTGCTCCCCACCTCCACTCCATTGTACCAGTCATTCCTGATCTTTCTAAACCTCAAACCTGAAACGAGCTGCTTCCTTGCTCAGCTCCTTTTGCCTGGAAGAGTAAGCCCACATTTCTTAGTCTGGTACTACAGATCTCCAGGCTCCGATACGGACTTAACCTTTGGCCTCATCTCTTATCTGTAATAATAAAAGTGTAATATGCTAACTAGACCAGACAGCCGAACGACCTTCTGGACGAAGCCAGGGCTGCATCCGAGGGACAGAGGCAGCCTGCGGCTTCGAAGGCCTACTCTTGCACAAATTTCGTGCATTGGGCCTCTAGGCTTTATACCCTCCTATCTCTTCCCACACAATCTTCAACTAGTTCCAGTTTGCATCTTTACATCCGTATCCTACTGGAAGAACTTCTACTCAAGTCTCAAAGGCAACTCCACCGCTCCTCTGATCCTTTCCCAGTCCTAAAGGAGTCATTCTCTCCCAGAGAAACGAGGACAGACTTTTGGATCATAATTACTTTAATTTGCATGTGTACCCCCCATACCAACCTACTCTTTAAAATATACGCCTCACTGGGCACCAGCCACTCCTGTGGTCTATGTGCCGCACCGTTTTACTTCTCCCTACCAGCGGAAGAGGCACTCTCACTCCTGTTTCACAGGTGAGGGAACTGAGGCACAGAGCAGTAAATGTACTTGCCTAAGTTCACACAGCTGGTAAAGGAGAGTCAGAGACAGAACCCAGGTATATCTGATAAACAAGCAAGCAAGCCCTAAGCGGTTTGGTTCAGTGGATAGAGCTTTGGCCTGCGGACTGAAGGGTCCCTGGTTCAATTCCAGTCTAGGGCATGAACCTTGGTTGCAGGCACATCCCCAGTAAGAGGTATGCAGGAGGCAGCTGATCGATGTCTCTCTCTCATTGATGTTTCTAACTCTTCATCCCTCTCCCTTCCTCTCTGTAAAAATCAATAAAATATATTTAAAACAAACCAAAAAAAGGTAGCCCATGATCCCGGCAGGGGTGGAGGCAGCCTGGGCAGGCCTCCAGGGCCCCCCATGAACTTGGCAGAACACAAAGGGCAAAGGGCAGAAGGAAACTGAGAGGGAGAGGATGGTGAGTTCAGACAGGAGACACCGAGGCTGCGAGGCTGGGCCAGTGGGTGAAGACTCGGAAGGAGAATGGGTACAACCCCCTGCTGTGGACTTGAGCACTGGCTTTAAGAGTCGAACAGAACCCAGTTCTCTGGGCCTGAGAATCCTCGGCTCTCACGTGGAGGTCTCTGGGCACTGCAGTGCTGCCGTGAGCAATCCTCGGGGCAGGACAGGGAATGAGAGGGCGCCTTCTCAGCGTGGAGTCTGACACTGCCACCTGCAGCCTCTGCAGCACACTCAGTCCTTGTGCACACTCCCTCTCTAACTGCTCTGGTGTGTTTTCCTAACCGGACAGGGGGTGTCTGGCTGGGAATAAGTAGCCGTCTTTTGTCCACCCACAAGCCACAAACAGCTCTTTGAGGAGCTGACAATCTGGGAGAAGAGTGAGACACAGTCCCGAATAATTAAAAATCAGACACAGAGCCAACTCTCCCGGAACGCTCACACCTGCCTTCTGAGGTAGAAGCGGTCACCCCGGTTTCTCAGGTAAGAAAGCTGAGGTTCAGGGAAAGGCGCCCTGGCCACACAGGAGTGGCGTGAAATGGCAGGACTCCTGGCCACTCCGGACAGGGGCCAGCGCTCCCCGCCCGCCTCTCCGAGCTGTTCTGCACGTGACGCACGTAGGCACGTCAGACTAGACCCGCGGTTGCCAAGCTTTCGGACCTCACGGGCCACCAGCTGGTGACCGCTGGACTAGACAGTCTACCGGGGAGGGCCTGGTGCTCCTGCTTGGCCCCCACAGCCTCATTCCTGCAAAGGGAGACAGAGCCCTCTCTCTAACCACAGCAGCTGTCCCTACCGCCACCCCCGCGGCCCCGATGTCAGGAGGCAGACAACTGCCTGCAGACCAGAGGCCGAGGATTCTTTGTGAGAAAGGTCCCCAGGGAAGGGAGGACAGCGGCTCATCGGCCAACAAACATTTGCCGAACTCCTGCAGTGTGCCAGGCTCGCTACCGGGACACTCCACCGCAAGTCTCCTGACCAGCCCTAGCTCAGTGATCAGAGCATTGGCCTGCGAACTAAAGGATCCAGGGTTCGATTCTGGTCAAGGCACATGCCCGGGTTGCCGGCTCCATCCCCAGTGGGAGGTGTGCAATAGGCAGCTGATCCATGATTCTCTCTTATCATTGATGTTTCTCTCTCTCCCTGTCCCTTCAATAAAAATATATTTTAAGAAAAAATTTCCTGCCGAAACCGGTTTGGCCCAGTGGATAGAGCGTTGGCTTGTGGACTGAAAGGTCCCGGGTTCGATTCCAGTCAAGGGCATGTACCTTGGTTGCGGGCACATCCCCAGCAGGGAGTGTGCAGGAGGCAGCTGATCGATGTCTCTCTCTCTCTCTCTCTCATCTATGTTTCTAACTCTCTATCACTCTCTCTTCCTCTCTGTTAAAAAAATCAATGATACATTAAAATAAAATAAGTTTCTGAACCAGGAGATTCCCTCTTATATACAGAGCTGTGCCTGAGTTTATGTGTTTATTTTTCCCCAGAAGAAAAGGGGCCACATTTTCCACCAGATGTGAGAACCACTGCTTTATGGTAAATATAGGATATCAATCATTCTCACCACATGCCTCTTCCCTTCCTTTTACAGATAAAGAACTAATAGGAAGAGTTAGTGGGAGACCCAGGGGGGAACTCAAGTAGTAAGTTGCAAAGCTGAACAGGATTTCCGCTCTTGGGATGTCTCGGAAAAACACCAGCATGAACTCCCAACTCACTGTTCCAGACTCCATCCTATTACTCTTCCCGGGTGAAAGCATCCTGTCTTTTCCACCTCCACCCAGTGTCCCTTGGTCCCTTGTCACCTGAGACCTTTCCAGACCCAGTCCCTGCTGTAGCATCTTGTTACTCCTCTCCTCGCCCCCTGTGTTCCGGTCAGACTCCAGCATCTGTGCAATCCCTGCCGGCTACACTCAGCGAGACCTTCCTGCCTTGGCATGTGCATCACCCTAATCCCTCCACCTGAACTAACTCTGCAGCTCCTTAAAAACCCGGTTCAAGCGCCACCTCACCTGGAAAGCCACCCCTGACCCTCCTGGGCGGGGCTGGGTGACACCCTCAGAGCTCCTGTGTAACACTCCGTACACTCTTGTGTATGTCCTGACTTCTGCCGGATCACACGTGGTTGGAGCCCCTCAATGACTATTTGACTTGTGGGCAGCAGTGCCCCTGCCTCCGAGGCCTACATCGTGACCTCATGGCACGTGGGTAACCGTGGCCCACGTGGGTCTCCCCAAGGAGACCGGCAGTTCCCCAGAGGCCACACGGCCCTTCTCACCACCGCTCCCAGCCCCGCCGGCGCAGCACGGGGTAGGCAGCAGTCAATAATCTGACAGATGCGTTCATGGAGATGGAGACAGAGACACACACACACACACACAAAGGGGGGGAACCCCACATGCTAACCTGACTAGTTCAGGGAAGGCCTGCATGGCGGTTTTGCAAACTCAAAGACCTCAAGTAAGTACAAAGAATGGTCTGAACTTAAAAACTTAACTAAAAGCAGTGTATAGGAGAAAGCAGTGTATAGGAGGCAGTCATTTCCTAGGCCAAGTATTTTCCCTGACAAAGATCAATTTCCAAGCAGAGATAACACACCTGTGAACTGTCCGGGTAACTAGTTACTTCCTCCTTCAGGACCCCTTAGGGCGCGACACATGGCACCGGCCGGACCACAAACTCCCTCCTTGTTATTGTTATCGTGTTAATGGTGGACTGCTAACTATTGTATCCACCTCAGTAAAAGAAGCGTGTGTCCCTCGTTTCACTTTTTATCCAATCCCAGAGGTTTCCCCGCTCTGCTTTCCCCCACCTCCCTCATCCATCACCAATGGGCCTCATGCAACCCACCGAGGGCTCCTCCTCGGACGGACCCCGCCATTCTCCGGAGCGTCATCCCAATGCCTAGAGGTTTTGCTTCCCGGCAATTTGCCCACAGTTTGGCTCAAATAAACTCACAAAAAGCTCTTCACAGGTTTGAATGTGTTTTTTTACACTAACAAGTCATGCGGAGCTCGCGGCACACCGCTCTGGCCGGTCAGCAGCGGTCCCGGCGCCCGTCCACGCTGCCCCGCGCAGGCCCTGCCCGTCCACCCTCCCGCTCCGCCCGGCCCCGCCGGCAGGGCCCTCCCCGCCCCGCAGCCCGGCCCTCCCGGTGGGTCCGGACAGGATCCCCGCTCCCGCCCGGAAGCGCGGCCCGGCCACCCCGCCGCCCCGCCGCCCGGCCAGGGAGGTCACCGCGCCCGCCGCCCCGCCGGCCGCGCTCCGGCCGTTTGAATCTCCCGCCCGCGCGGGCCGGACGCGGGAAGCCGGCGGCAGGGGGCCCCGGGCTCGCCCAGGCGAGGCGGGGCCCGGCCCGCGCCCGGCCGCCCCGCGGGGCCGGGGACACGCGCGCCCGCACTCGCGCCTTCCTTCCGGCCGCCCGGCTTCACGTGGAGGCGTCGCCACGCGACCGGGCGCCGCGCGCGAGCGACTGCGCCGGCCCGCCGCCGCCCCCCGCCGTGCCCGGGCCGCGGCCCCCCGGCGCGCCGCCGTCCCCCGGGCCCTTCGCCCACGACACGCGCGACCTACCTCGGCGCCGGCCGCTCCGGGAACTCCTCGGCGCGCCGCGGGGCCGCGGACTGCCCCAGAGCATGCGCTCTGCGGGCCTCTGCCCGACCCGGGCCCCCGAGGAAAACAAAGGGCCCAGCGGCCCCTGGCGGCCGCCCCGGGAAGTGCAAGGGACGCGCTGCCCACAGGGAGCTCCAGACCAGGTTCTCCACCTGGGCTCCACAAGGACGGCGGGTGTGTGTTTTGGAGACCCCCAAATCGGGACGAGTGGACTAACAACCACAAAGACCATTTGAAAACAGGGTTTGTTTATGGGAAAACTTTGTGTGATAGGAACTGTACAGAGAAAAGGGATAATGCTCTTCCCTGTTCTCAAGAGGTTCTCTGTTGGAGACATGAGAAATCAGACAATTAACAAAGAGTTATGACAAGAGTCTGCCCAGGGGCATCTGGCTCAGCCTGGGACTTAGGAAATCCTATCCAAGTTAAGGCGGAGAAGCGTCCCTGGTAATGACAGGGAGCGATGAGAGCCCAGGGTGGCCCTGGGAAACGTGTTAGGAAGGAGGTCTAACTGGAGCAGGAGTGGCAGCAGAGCACTGGAGCAGGAGGGCTGGCCAGAGATGCACGGTCTCATGTCTAAGGAGTGCAGCCTCCATTCCGAGGCAACGGGGATCTATGAAAGGGGTTTCACCAGATGAGTGATATGAGTAGGTTTCTGTTTTCAAACAGAATGGAGAATAGACTTGGAAGCGAATCAAGTGAGAAAGACCATTTGAATTGGATGTGATTTGGGTTGGTGGCTGGAGAAGGAAAATAGGCACCAAGCGGATGACCCTCTCTTGTTAACACACTCATTCTCCACAGTGGATGCAAACAGTTCTTGAAGATTTTAGGTGTTCCCTGAGGTGACTTCTCTGGCCATTTGATTCTCTGGGGGTGTTTCCCAGGTCAGGGCAGTGACCTCTGCAGAAGGATATTTTCTCCATTTCATGTTGATTATGACTCTGAAAGTCATCCTATATAATATAAGCCTAGGTGGTATCACGTGATGTCATTATGAGATGGCTGCCACAACATGGCTGTCCTCACATCGTCACAAGATGGCCATCACCATCACAAGATGACTGCCCTCACATTGTCACAAGATGGCCGCCACAAGATAGCCACCACAAGATGGCCACCACAAGATAGCAGGCAGGGGAGGAGAGTTGGGAGGACCAGGCTGGCAGGGAAAGGTAGTTGGGGGCCATTAGGACGGTAGAGGAGGGCAATTGGGGGTGAGATCAGGCTATCAGGGGAGGGAAGTTGGGGGCAATCAGACCAGTAGGGGAGGGTAGTTGGAAGCGATCAGGCCTGCAGGGGAAGGCAGTTAGGGGCAACTGGGCCAGCAGGAGAGCAGTTAGGCATCCATCAGGCCAGCAAGGGAGCAGTTAGGCATCAGTCGTCAGGAGTGGTTAGGGGGCAATCGGGCTGGCAGGCAGAAGCAGTTAGGGATAATCAGGCAGGCAGGCAGGCGAGCATTTAGGAGCCAGCAGTCCCAGATTGTGAGAGGGATATCTGCCTGCTGGTCCCAAAGGGTCCCAGATTGGAGATTGCAGGCCAGGCTGAGGGACACCACCTTCATGCATTGGGCCTCTAGTTCTATCATAACCAGATAGATAAGATACTTTTGATGAGTATTTACCAACTGAATTTCTTTTTCTGTAGACTCCACCCCAAAGCACTCCCCGTCTTGAGGGTCTCTTACCTCTTCAAGTTTACCTCTGCCTCCATCTCGGACTCCTCCTTTGGATGATGTAGTACCCTGAAATTTCTCCAAGTTTAAGCTCTGGGATCTCTGCTCTCTCTCTGCTGTCTTCCTCCAAGTTTTTACTCATTCACATGCTTAATGTAATTATAAAAATGATTATTATCACCTATTTTGTACTTTGTATTTTTACTTTTTTAACTGCAGAAACATTTCCACCCATGTTACTTAGCACATTTGTTCCTCACAAAAACCTCATAACAGTTGTAAAATGAGAAAAACAAGGTTCAAAGAGGTTGGACTTTCTCTGGAATCATTCTACAAATGGGAGAAGGGGACAGAACTCCTGGTCAGGGCTGAGCTATCACTTTTTGGAAGGGCAGTCCATCTGCCCTCCACTGGAAGTTTCAGCCCTTCAGCTCTACCCATGTGACTCATCACCCATGGATCTAGACACCACCCCAACTTCATCTTTCCAGCCAAAGTTAAGGTTCTCTGAGAAATACAGATTCAAACCTTAAATGCTTTACCGATTCCTCACTCGCCTCTTCATGTTTCTATTTCTGCCCCTCTGATCAAAAGAACCGCCCTCCTGAACTCTGCTCCTACCTTTCCTTTCTTCCCCTCCATTTCATCCCAACAAGATGCCCAGGTTAATCTCCCTAAATCCTAGCTGGGAGACCTTGCCCTGTTTAGAAATCTTTAAAAATGGAGATGTTTTTGCCCTGCCCAGTTTGGCTCAGTGGATGGAGCTTTGGCCTGAGGACTGAAGGGTCCCAGGTTAAATTCCGATCAAGGGCATATGCCTTGGTTGCAATCTCCATCACTGGCCCCCGACAGGGTTAGTGCAGGAGGCAATCAATGTATCATTGCTCTTTCTCTCTCCCCATCAGTTCCACTCTCTAAAAAAATAAAATAAAATCAATCGATGGGAAAATATCCTCAGGTGAGGATTACTAACAATAAATTAGGTATTTCTTTGGTGCTCTGCTTGCAATACCAGGTGGTCACAAAGTGTTATTTAACAAGCTCATTGCACTTAGGAGACTGTAAGAAGCATTTACAAACATGAACTAATTTAATAGCCTCATTCTTTTATTCCCCCCAATTTCATGAGGAGATTGAAGCAGAGGTTAAGTGGCTCGCCCAAGGTCACATGCACAGAAACTGGTGGTATCGGGATCCAAACCTAGGTGGCATGACTCCACGTTTGACAACAATCGGCATGATTGCCTACGTGAGGAAAAGCCTGTTTGGACAGATAGATTGCAAGATGAAGTTTAGCAGAAAGGGTGGGACCTAGAATACCTGCTGGCAGCTTTGCTTCAGCGCCACTTGGACATGGAAATGAATACAGGTATTTCCTGTCTAGCATTAGCTATCCAGCCGTCTATTGAGAAGTTGGTAGGAAACATTAAGATAATCTTTTTCTGATTGTGGGGGAAAAGCTAACACTATACTGAGCCCCTACATTCCCAAGACATTATGTGGTAATGATACCAAGATGAGAGGTCAACACTGGGCTGGTCCTGGGGATAAACAGGATCCTGCCTTACTTCTGGCTCACTTCCAGGAAGTCTACAGGGGGTTGATGCTTTTGTGCAGGGGTTCCACTTCCGGTTGGGAATTTGGGCAATGTGGCCTTTCTGTTCCCAAGTTTTCCCATCTGAAACTGGGCTAGGTTAATACCCATTTCAGAGTTGTGAGGATTAATATATGCCAATACAACTAAGTATTGCAAATGCTACTAGTTTAAGCATATTCCCAAAAGTTGCTTTATCAGTTCAAAAAGCCAACAAGCCGTGCTCTCCATAAGTATGGCTTTAGGAAATTGTTCCCATTCCCAAATCTATCATCCTCTGGCCCTGAACACATTGGTGAAACCCCATTTGGACATTCCACTTTGGCCAAACCCACCACCCAAACCCCAAATACACACACCTCCTTAAATCGGACCCCAAAGTCTCCTTCATGGTTATCTGAACTCCACACACCAGGTTCGCCTCTACCTTCTAGATGGTCTCCATCCTTCAGGGCCTATTACACCCATCCCTACAAGGCTAGCAGTCTGTACCAGACAAAGCTTCCATTGTGACGCAACCCCACATCACTCATGGCAGTGGTCTTCCAGGTTTAAGGCCTTGCTACTTGGACACCTGTTTAGGTTTAACTAGCCTAACAGCAGTGGCACTTTAACAAAAATCTTGTAGTTGCTAATTTGTTAGTACTTTATGGGAAACTGAAGGATTGGTCTCATTGACAACTTAGAACACCTCTGCCCTGTAGACTACATAGCACTGGATAGTTCATTACAGGTAGGTGAAGCATTACCCATATTTCAAAATTTAAGCAGTTATCCAACTGCACAATGAAGATGGGATCTAACCAGGGAACTATGCAACTGGGAATGCTTCTTCCAGATGCCAAGTGTCAACATAAAGTTAAACACAAAGAGCCCAAGACAAAAACTTAGGGTCCTTTTAAAAAATTTAATAAATCTTTATTGTTCAGCCGAAACCGGTTTGGCTCAGTGGATAGAGCGTCAGCCTGCGAACTGGGGGTCCCGGGTTTGATTCTGGTCAGGGGCATGTATCTTGGTTGCGGGCACATCCCTGGTGGGGAGTGTGCAAGAGGCAGTTGATCAATGATTCTCTCTCATCGATGTTTCTAACTCTCTATCCCTCTCTATAAAAAATCAATAAAATATATATTTAAAAAATCTTTATTGTTCAGATTATTACAATTATTTCTCATTTTCCCCCCCTATAGCTCCCCTCCACCCGGTCCCCACCCCACCCTCTGCCCTTACCTCCCCACTGTTGTCCTCATCCATAGATTAATTTTTGTCTAGTCTCTTCCCGTACCCCCCCCCAGACACCCCTTTCCTCCTGAGAATTATCAATCCTCTCCCATTCTATGCCCCTGATTCTATTATATTTACCAGTTTATTCTGTTCCTCAGATTTTTAATTCACTTGACTTTTTAAAAAATATATATTTTATTGATTTTTCACAGAGAGGAAGGGAGAGGAATAGAGAGCTAGAAACATTGATGAGAGAGATATATCGACCAGTTGCCTCCTGCACACCCCCTAACAGGGATGTGCCTGCAACCAATGTACATGCCCTTGACCGGAATTGAACCCGGGACTCTTCAGTCCGCAGACCAACGCTCTATCCACTGAGCAAACCGGTTTCGGCAATTCACTTGACCTTTAGATTCACTTGTTGATAGATATGTATTTGTTGTTCATATTTTTTATCTTTACTTTTTTCTTTTTCCTCCTTTTAAAGAATACCTTTCAACATTTCATATAATACTGGTTTGGTGGTGGTGAACTCTTTTAGCTTTTTCTTATCTGTAAAGCTCTTTATCTGCCCTTCAATTCTGAAAACTTT